CATCTCACTACCTGACTACAACCAAGTGGGCATGAATGAAGCCATCTTCCAGGACCTCCAGAAGACTCCTGAAAGGTCCTAGAAGGTGCCCTCATTGTTGTGGGTCTGGCTGTGGTCACACAATCAGATGCTTCTATGCCATACACTAGTCACTACATAGCAGTGGATGGGAAAGTGGGTCCTATAAGAGTGGGAAAAGAGATATTTCATATTTCTGTTGTAGCAAATGTTATGCCATGTTTCCCAACGCAGGTTCTTAGCCCATATTTAATTCACAGTAAATGGTTGCTGAGCTTATCCAGAAAAATGGAAGAATGAGTGAAAGTATTAATGTCCTTCACTTTGTTTGGCACTGTGTTATATTTATTTTTAAAGTATTTTAAAAGTATTTTGTAGTACATCTTCTCAATCATTTAAATTATTTCAAACTATAAGAATTACATGACAGTATTTAATATTTAAATATATCTATTATGCTGGTTTTTTTTAAAAAACTTTATCCGGTCATTGTTTTTACTTGTATGAATTTATAATTTAATAAACATTTTGCATTTAATAAAATGAAGCAATGTTGTTTTTAAGATTGCAGTGATTCCCTATTCAGTCATGACAGTATCATAAGCCCAACATGGCATCATATCACACCAATTCACTTTTTCATCTGTTGGACTACCATAATTCAAAAGAGCCCCTCAAAACCTTCCTTTTAAACCCTGCAGCCCTCTCAACGGAGGCATTTCCAATGTGCTGGAAAGAGCTGGACACGGCATTGCTCACTTCCCTGCTCTTTACTGTCTCAGAAGTTCCTCTGTTGGGGATGAGGCTGTATAGTTTAAATAAGCCTGCACAACTTTTGGTCCTCCAGGTGTTTGGGACTCCAACTCCCAGAAGCCCTAGCCAAGCTTTCCGATGGTCAGAAATTCTGGGAGCTGAAGTCCAAAAAACCCGGAGATCCACAGATTGTGTAGGTTTGTCTTAAAACTAATTTTGTTTGTGGTGGAGATCTTCCTCAGGACCTGATGCACACTTTGGAGTAGGCAAAATGATTACTCCTGCATGCGCTTAACCCAGATGTAGAGCTATGTCACCACCTCAATATTCTGAGGAGCTGAAGATGACAAAACAAATAATTCAGCAGAAAACAGCAGACAATTCACAAATGCGACTTATACTAAGAACTGTTGAACAGTGCTAGTAGCACAAAAATCTTACTTCGCTACCACTATTGCATATGTTCACTGCCATCCACAACAGCAAATGTGATGCAAGTCCTTCTTGGTGTAGACCAGGAGTGAGGATATCCTGCCCTCAAGGTGATACTGTTGTGTGCCCTCAAGACTGTATTGATTCTAAGGCAAACTTATTGTGGGGTTTTCTTGGCAAGATTTCTTCAGAGGGGTCTTGCTGTTGCCTTTCCTCTAAAGTCCAGAATGTCCAACTCTCTCCCAAGGTCACCCACTGAGTTTCCATGGCTGAGCAGGGATTCAAACCCTTCTCAAATCATTACATCATGCTGGCTTTGTAGTTCTTCATCCATCTTTCCTATTTTTTCCCCTAAAGAAGGAAGTGCCTCCTTTAATCTGTCCTGAATCTTCTCAACCACCTGGAGCTTCAAGTATTGTGACAGACGAAGAAAACCACTCAAGATGCATAGATTTAAACAGTAATAGTCTTTTCCCCCGAAATCTTTCTTTGTAGAGAAAGTTGTCCCAGCTCCTTGATAAAATTGTTGCTGTTCATGGAAACATATGTAGCTGTACAATATGGGGAAGTACAATAATATTTTTGATGCAATTATGTTTGCAGCACACATATTTGTGTGCAAGGGCATGATATCTGTAGTTTCATTTCCAGTCCCTTTCCTGATCATCTTTACAGCAACCGCTTCTTCCATGAAGTCACACACTGGGGGGGGGGGGGTCTGCTTTCAGCACAAAACAATACAATTGCCATGCTACTTTAACTACCACAGCTGCATCCTATGAAAAGTTTGCACTTTGGTCAGTAAGCAAAACACGGAGCAAGTGGTTGCCAATACATTTTCCAGAATGAGCACTGCAAAACAGTGCTCCAAAGAGAGTTTCTTTCTCCATTCATCCAGTACTGTATGCCAGACTGTTCACCTGCCAAATGAACCTGTTGCTGTTGATTAAAAAAAGTTCCCTTGTTACCCCATTCCTCCAATCTGGAGGGTTTAAGCCAGGCATTTTCAAACTGTGGCATCCAACTCCCAGAAGCCCCAGCCAGCTTTTTCAGTAGTCAGGAATTCTGGGAGTTGGGGACCCAAACAGTCGGAGGGCCACAGTTTGCAGGTGCCTGGTTTAAGCAGTAAAGTACTATCTACCATCATGAGGTTGGGTAGATCCCAGAATGACAAGAAAACCACATACACTGGAAATCCAAGGTGTTTATTTCTTGGCATCAACATGCTCAGTATTGAGACATTGTACCACTATATACAACGTAAGGGATACTCTTTGTACACAACAAAAAACACAAACAGAAGCATTAAGTTTAAGAAGTTAGCAAAACCATAAATAAGGACAAATTGTACAATTTTTTTTGGAAAATCTCATTATTATATACAACATTGATGGCATGGACCCATAGTCAGTTGCTATAATTTAAAAGTGTAAAGAATGCAAGGTAACTAAATGCAAAGGCACTGAGCACAGCTTCCCTCCCCTCTCCTTTTGCAATCCGGAAACCAGGTAAGATGGTTAAAAAAAACAAATCCTCCATACATAGTACATACACAAAGAGTTGCATATGCTGCAACAGAAACCAAAGGAAAAATACAGGCTTAAGGATGTTTTCCCTGGATTACTATGAAAGCAGGAATAAACAAAGGCAAGGATCAACTGAAGATTTGCAAACCACTGGCTCTATAGTGTTTTCTTTGCCAAATAGTGAACTAAACTACCCTTTTCAATAGTGACGGTATAGCCATTAATTAGACTTACAAGCAGGCTGCGAATGCTGCTGAAGGATAAAGACTGAAGTAGGCAATGCAGAGACAGGTTGTGCACTGTGCTCAGCTGTGGTCAAACTATAGAAGCTTAGTCATGGTCACACACACTGTATGGTACTCAGTGATATTGCATTGCTATCAGCAAAGTGAGGATTACTGAATGTGTTGCAATCCCATGATTTCAAAGGCCGTGTGTCTCTCGCTACCTTTGTGTTAAAACTAGTGTGTTCTTGCACACCGTCTCAAGTTTAAGACCAAGTAAATGGCTTGAGAACATAAAACAACTATGAAGTATATAACAGATTGGCTATACGTAAGAGAAATATGTTGACATTTATAAAAACAACAGTCAGGTCTTCACGAGTCTTCCTTAAACCTGCTATAGGGGCATGTGATAACACTTGACAAGTCTGGATTTAAAATCTCTAGAATCAAAATTGGGGTAGCAAAACGAAAATGTGCAGATAATTACTCCAGTAGAAGTCAAGGGGACAGGACTTACATTGGCATTCCCATTGGTTAATTATTGGACACCGCTTCTCTTGTTGTGTACAATTTACCAAAATCAAGGTATAATTTAGCAGACAACCTGAATGCCCAATGTGCATCATGGCAATAGTTTCAAACCTCTACATGTTTTGGGCTGAAGCTCTCAGATTCTTTGGTCATTGGTCATGCTGACTGAGGCTTCAGGGTGTCAAAGTCCAAAACATCAAGTTGGCTAAAGCTGAGAATTACTACACTGTGAAACTCACAATTATTGAGTCATCAGTGTGCAAACTTGCTTGGAGACTTCCTCTCCTCTGACAGCAACTGTGAGGAGGAAGGCAAGAATGGAAGCATTCCTAATCCAGTAGAAAAGAAATGAGCAAAACTCAAGACAGCTCCCATTCCTGTGTTGATGTATCCACAAACACACCAATGAAATCCAGGAGGAGATTCTTCTTCAGGTTCCTTGTAAATCACACTATAACTTCTTTATTATAGGGCATATTGTAACAGCAAGGCCTCTTTGGAGGAGTTACTAGAGTTGAGGAGGTTCGAATGCAATCATCTACAAAGTCCAGCCTTTGCCACCTAGTTATTCAGTAAATATATACTAAACATTTTTAAATGAAACAAACATATTAAAAATCATTTGAATAAGTAGTTTATGCACAACCACATATGTCTCTCTGTCCATAGCACAGTTGATGGGGGAAGGGGACTATAACTCAGCTATGAATCCTGAAATAATCTTTTTTGATCTTCATCCACTACCAAAATATATAATCCATATTTATTACCACTTTTTCTTCCACTGACATTTAGCTGAAATTGAACAGCAGTAAAAAGGAGTAAGAATTGTTCCATACAGTAATTTGGTGCAATTACTAAGAGTCATTCACAATCAACTGCACATCTTGTTCCCATAGTATAATCACAATTTTGTCTGAATTTTTCTACATCAGCCATTGTACTTACTGAATATACAAGTCACATAGTCCTAAAAATCAGGCTTTTAAAATATATAAAGTAGCAGATATGGCCATCAGTCACACACAGTATGTATGGAACAGAAGTTAGTATATTAGCTATGGAACCAACAGATCTTCAAAAAATTAAAAATAAGTATGTGCCAAATAAATATGTGGAATGGTGAAAAAGAAAAGGAAAAATCTGTATTTCTTGCTTCTGGAATGACTAAAGAACTACCTCAGTAGCAATGGAGTGGTTCTTCACATTCTAGGGAGGTGTCTCTTGCTCCTTCACAGTCAGAAAACCAAGCCCAATGCCATTTTCTAACGTATTCCAGGTTCACTCACTCTATCCCCAAAACTATTTGGTTCAGGTTATTTAGGAAAACCTTTCATAACCTGCATCTGTAACACATCTGTTGGACTGCATGTATCATATTTGCCAGTCAGCAGGATATGTTGCCTGGGGGACGATGTGAGTGTTAGCCAGCCATCTGTCAGGCGCAAGGTTAGGGAAAGCTAATTCTGAGCCAAGAATGCAAAAGAAGAACCAAGGGATTTCTTTTTTAAAAAAATGGCATTGCTCTTTAAGAGTAGTTATGCTTGCTTTCTCCAGAAAAACAACACATTTCAATTTGCAAGCCTCAACTATATCAATATTTAACTGTAAACAAGGTTTTGAACATCAGCTATTACCACCATATGTCACACAGAATTAAGTTAACACTTAACACAGAAGGCAAAAGGAAACTTTTCATGCTCAGTGACACTGTGGAGTAGGGGTTAAGAAGTGCTGCGCATTACTGTGAGCAGATGCTGGAATAAGAACCCCAAGATGCAGAAGCCATTACTGGGGCTTCTGTATCTTGGACCATTACTGGGGCTCAGTTAATGCTGCATGACCCCCACTCTGCTCTACAGCAAACCCAATATGGATCCTTGCACTTAAAGTCCTCAAAGCCCATTACCAAAAATGAAATCGCTAACTCATCTTTTTTTGTTTATAGGTGAACTGGTCCTATAAGGGCCTAGGGCTGCTGGGCATTGCATTCCAATGTCACCTGGGGTGCTGCATGACCCCCAGTCTGCTCTACAGCAAACACAAAATGGATCCTTGTCCATTTTCTTGCAAGTACAGGGTAGGGTCAAAAATCCCTTCCTCCCTTCCAGGAGGACTTTTATCTGAAGTAATAAAAACACAACAATGCTCTTTACCCTGGAATATTGCTTGCAAGTAGCTTCTAATATTGATATGTACTTTTTTTGAGCAAAAAAAAAAAAAAAAAAAGACCATTAGCCGCTCAGTACTATTCCCATCTTCCTCCAACAGGAACTTTGCCTACCTTGGTCAAAATGAAAGGTAATTTGTTTAACAGTCAGTGCTCAGCGAATTGTTCCCAAAACCAAGAGTGGCCCATTTCAAAGAGAACACAAGGTGTGATTTAACTCTCAGGGATCCCTAAAGGGAAGCCCACCACCACCTTGGTTTGCAACAATCAGTTTCTGTTTAACAACGAGTTACATCTATGAGTATTATGCACACGCTAAAGGAACTGAAAGTTATTTGTACATAGATGCGAGGACAAAAAAGGATTCAGAATATTCCATGACTCTGCAGCTACCACTCCGGAAAAGAAAAGAAAAAGCAGATGTCTGCAATATTGCAAGCATAGAACAGTACAAGTGACAAATGGCAATATATAAAGCAAAACTGTATATATCGAGTAGAGAATTCTGGCCACCTACTTACAACAGAGCTAATGTGCTTTAAAATTAGACACACATGCACGCACACCTGCCTCCAATCTATACATGCCATTTTAAACACAGGGTTTCCCCAATAGCTTCTCCTGCATAATGTCTGGAGCAACATCAGTAACACTGACAAGTTTACTGTCACCACACAGCTTAGATTAAACATGTTATGTCAGTGTGAAAGATGGAAAAATCAATCAAAAGAAATGTATTTCCTTGCTGTCTCAAGCCACCACTGCAGGCCTTTATAGCAACTTCAGTGCCAACAAGACATCAAACTCTTCTGCGAATTCCAGAATCAAGAATTTGCATTATTTTGCAGTGCATTGAGCCACACACATCTTTTCTTTATCTTTTTCTGAAATCACGCTGTTTCAAGTCTACTGAAGTAATGAATCGATCACAGCTCCTGATTTTGCAGAACGTTTCCTGTTTGGAAAGGAGAGAAAAACTTCACATTATTCACTATTCCATCTAGGAGAAAATGGTCTATATTTCAGAGCTAAAGGACACTGAAGAACAACAAAATTAAAAGCACAATTATCTTCATACTGCACCCATTCCAGCTTCCCTCCCACTCTTGCTCCCTTCTCCCTCTCTCTTCATGAAGCCAAACATACCAGGAATAAAAACCACACAAAATCAACTAACCCAAAGCTCCTCAAAGCAGTCAAGAGCAAAGCAATCTCCCAAAGTAGGCAAGAGCACGAGGCACAGTGGCACGAGGCTGCTTCCTTGAAGCCCTAAAGCCCTGTACTCTGGCACTACCTCTTAACTCAAAACACTGCTTGCATGTCAAAGCAAAACCTAGGATGAGCAATTGCTCTTAACTCAAAATGCTCTTAAGTTGGGATGCTCTTAAGTTGAGGTTTCACTGTACATGAATATAAATATATCCTTATATATTTGCACTTATACTCTTCTCTGCTGCACACACTGGATGATCAGGTCTGCCACACAGGCCTGAATCCTTAGGTTGGAAGTGCACATCAAACAGAGGAGGCATCCTCACCCCTTCAGCATCAGGACAAGGCCATATATGCAACAAGCATATTCACCAAGCTCTTAACAACATTGAGACCAGGGATGTTCCCCCTGCTTGTATCGAGCCTTGGGCAGCTTTGGCCCATGGGAATAATGCGAAAACCTCTCATCTAAGTTTCAATGTGTGAGCAAAACCCATATGTTATAACAGTTCTGACCTTCTGCCAGTTTTGGGCCTCGATCGTCCTTTTGATGTCCTTGGTCTTTCTAGTTTCATCAAAGACTGCCTCAGGCTTTCTTCAGTGTAAGCCAGATACACGTGGGAAAGATCCACCTCAAAGGGCTAATAGTGGGAAAAAGGAGACATTGTGAGTTGACATTCAATGGTCAAGTCAAATCCGACCATCAAGATGGGAGGTGTGTGTGTGTGTGTGGTTAAAATCTTAGATAAGCATAAATGAAGACAGATAGATAATTACAAGAGCCCACATTTACAAAATGTCACTTACATCTTTTTCTTTCTTATCAGGCACTGGAGTCTGCTTTCTCATGTTATTCCCAGTGTATGCAACACATTTCTTAAAAGAAAAGAAAAAGAGTGATAAAGGCAATTGGATATCATACAAGCAATCCCACTCTTCTGAGAGCCCTTTCTTTAAGATCTTAATGGAGATGCTCTTTTCATTCAACATTTGCTCAATCGAGAACATTCACATAGCAATCAGTTTCACTGGAGTCAGTGAGCTATCTTCAAGTAAAAAAGAGCTTGGACTCTTATGAAAGTGGAATGATGAAGTACACAGTTACTTTTTAAATAATGCCTTATCTCATCTAGTTTGGGCAGCAACAGCACGGCCACTTCAGGATGGCTACCCATTCATGGACTTCTCCATCTACCTAGAATGCCAGATATTGCATATGATCTATCTATCTATCTATCTATCTATCTATCTATCTATCTATCTATCTATCTATCTATCTATCTATCCATCCATCCATCCATCCATCCATCCATCCATCCAGGACAATAAAAGGCCAAAACACAATACACAGCAGCATTATTTTAATGGCCTACTGCTGCTGCTTTTTTATCTAGTGATACAAACTGGATAGCACTGGTAGATTTGAGACAGGACTTCAGAAGAAAACAAGATATTTCAAGGTGAACTAACATTTTATACCATTATTCCCCCTTTTTCGTGTTGTGCTTACATACCAGCTGCCACTCTCCAATATCTTCATTCCAGTGGACATAATTTTCAATCATTTCCTTTAAGGAAATAAGAAAAAAGTATGCACTTAAATTCAGCTGTATGACATCTTTTCACAATCAGAAGGTTAAAAAACAACAACATATTTTCTAGAAAATCTCCAAACCATTTTGACCAGTTGAGATGAAACAGGATTGACCAAAGACATTTTATTCGGTGAATTAGGACAGCAAATGAACTTTCCCCCAAGTCAAAGAGGCACAGTACCCAAATGCAGTCAAGTTACTTTGATACATAAGGATGGAATTTGAACCAGCATCTTTTAATACATTCTACTGTAAAAACAAAGGACATAACAATTTTCACTCCTTTCTTCTTCACATCTCAAATTTCCTACCCGAAGTAGCTCAGGATTACTTGGTGCTTAATTTCCCCCTTTCTTTTCCCATTGATGATAACTTCATCCCAGATGCTATGATCAGTAAGGAATGGATGATCATCAAATTCCATCTAATCAAAGATGCCAGGTGTCTCTAAGAATTCATTCAAATGAATGATGGCAAAGGTCATCTGGCTCTATATCTCTCTAGTATCTAGAATTTAAGGGCAGATTGCCTCTGAAACTTGAAGCTCCATATGATCAGCAGATTATATGTGGCAGCTGCAGAAGTGTGCGAAGTGGCTGAAATCCGATTAGTAATTAGTTTCAGAGATTCGGGTATCTTCAGCTTCATTTCGTAAAGATTCGGAGGGGTCTTATTTCATTTCGTAATCTGAAGCTCTGAAACTTCGTAGTGATTTTGCTGAGATTTGTTCCATTAGCGACAAAGGGAGAAATTTCAAGGCTCATTTCTCTGTCATTTTTATGGCTATCAGGGTGAAACTTGGCACACTTGTAGGCAACATTTACGACTGTAAGCCTGCCAGGAATCAGAATGTTTTTCTCACCCACTAATTTTTAGGAATTTTAAAAAGTTTTTACAAATAATTTTTTAAAACCCTATAAGAGATATCCCCTTGAATTTCTGCACAATGAGACAAATGAAGCAGAGAATCAATCTTGCAAACTTTCAAAAAAAAGTTCATCTACTGATTTTTAGGAATTTTAAAAAGTTTTTTTTTCAAGAAACAGCTTGAAATGCTTTAAAACAACAAATCTTTACTAATCTGTCTGAAACATTTTGGAGGCTTCCATTTCATTTTGCAATGCTTCAGAGGCATCCCATTCCGATTAGTAATCATACAAATCTCTAAATTATGAAATGGATCTCTGAAGTTTTGCACAACCCTACTGTCCACTGGTTCCATCCCAATGAAACCCAAACAATCATCTGAGCCTGAAGAAAGCAGGTGAGAAGCAACCCCATTCTTAATGCGCCCTATAATCTATGGTCTCAAGCCCTAACAAGGGCATCATGGAATACTGTTACAGAAGAAACTAAAAGTGCAGTTCCATGAACACAACAACTAGCCCTTAGAAAAGGAGGGAAACAGGAGATGCTAGTTCTAGAGTTGTTCCTAAATCCCTTAGCATAAATTTCGGCCTCCCTTAATTTTCACCTGATAGTCCTGAGGTATGAAGTTGTCAATAATAAGCATTTGAAGTCGCAGCTCCCTGCTAAGCTGTCGGATGTTCTCCAACAAGCCTTCAATTTCTCTCTGATGTTCCTGCTGCAGATCCGCCATCTGGGAAATACATGCCAAATAAGCAAAAAGCTACAATGAGCTCCCACAAGCAACCTGTGCATTTTGCTACTACTTTCTCCTACACATTACATTTATCATTAAGATAATCATAACCATCTCATGCAAGACTGATTTATTCAGAAGATTTTCATCTTTTCCTAGCATGCCTTGCAGATGGATTTCTATTTAATGGTCAGGTCATTTTTAAAGTGAGAAGGCTCAGATTACACCAGTGTGCCTTCATTTTCAGCTCATTATCCTTTCCTCTCACTTTGTCAAGAATATGAGACTTAAATCACTAGAAGAGGTTTTTTCTTTCTCTAGTGCTTAGTAACACACTTAAATGCTTAATAAATGTTTTTGAAAGTCCAGCGATTCAAAAGTAAAATGGGAAATGTTCATTTCCTTTTCAAATATATTTTATAGTATATCATTAATATACATTCTAGACAAAATACACACATGTAAGCATATAAACACTATATTAATAAAACATTATAACAACTTCATGCACAAACATCAAACAATATATAACATAAAATACTACACATTTATACATGAAACAGAATCGATTTCCTGTTAACCTATCATTGGTATCAATGGAGTACAAAATTTCTCTCTCTCCACTTAACAACCCCAGAATGTATGGATTTAAAGGTTTCAAACCTGTACCTTGAATTCTGCCTGAAAAAGTAACGGTAATCAAGGCAGATGGTTTATAATTTCTTCTTGTTGTTATGTGCCTTCAAGACATTTTTGACTTATGGTACACTGAAAGTGGTCATGTCATGGGAAGATTTGTTTAGAGGGGAGTTGACCTTCTATGAAGCTGAAAGACTGTTATTTGATCAAGGTCTCAAAGTGGGTTTCCATAACTAAGCGAGAACTGAATCCTGATCTCTAAAGTTGTCATCCAATATGTAAACCACTATACAACATTGGCTATACAAATTTATACCTAGTGTTATATATCCAGAATTCTGGTCAAAAAGGCTGCTGATTGGCCTGAATGAATAGAACTTTCCAGACTATTCTCAAGGGTAACTTCATACAGAATGCAGTACAACAACCTGTCTTTGTCCGGCCAGATCTAGTGTTACATTTACTTATGCTGGTGAAAAGTATTTTACGTCATAGATGTCACCTAGCAAGACACAGTAAAGTATTAAGAGTTATCTTTACACTAGATGTCTGTTCGTTAAGGTAAAACAGCTCCTGCTAGGTCTTCCAAATTACCAACTAACATTTCATTCCTTAGACTTCATCCAGGACATTACTGAAACTAGGAAGCAGTCTAGCACTTCTACTACCCTACTCAGCTCTGACAAGAAGAAATATAGAGCCAAGTATCATCAGTATTTCGACGTCATCACTCTCTATGACTCTGTACAACTTCTTTCAAAGTTTGGGGGAAGAACTTAAGTGACCAACCAGAATCCGACAGAAAACTCATACACACGAAGAACCCAAAAGGCTCGCCCTTCCATGGTTTCTTTTTACTCCACTGTGTGACCAATGCCCTCTTTTCTATTTTCAAGATTTATTTGTGCATACACATATGCCCACAAAATCACACAGAAACATTTATTCTGTTCCTTTAACAGAAAATCAGAAGAAAAAAACCAGAAATGGGATGCAATACTGACCTCTGACTTTGCTGCCATTAGCATTGTCCAGACTTTCTTTAGCTTCTTGGTCTTCCCTTGTGCTTCCTCCTGAAGGCTGGTGTACTTTTCCTCAATATCCAAACGCTCTTGCTATTTACAGGACAAAAATAGGATAAATGAATCAAAATTAATAAAAATTCTCCAACTGATGTGCTGGTAAAAGGATGCTATTCAGCACAGACTGCCATGTGGAAGAGGGAAGGATTCTTATAAGAAATGTATGCTAGGTTATTCAAATTTAACTTCGTCCCCTTCTTGATTTAGAAATCTCAATCTCACACAACTTTGTTTACTTACAGGGGGAGCACAGAGTGTAACTTGCAAGTCCCATTGATCGCATCTATAGAAATGATGGGAATATAGCCAAAGTCCTCTGTGTGCTAAATTGGGAACTTCAAATTTGTCTCAATGCCTAGTTTCATCAAGACAATACCAAAGCCAAACTGGCCACAGGCTCTTTTGCAATCTTCCAAATTATTTTGGAAACCGGCCAATTTAAGAGTCAATAATCTTTTGTCAAGAAGGATAATGATTCATCTTATCCTTCAGGTTGTTTTTGTGCAACCTGAAATTTTCTCTCAAGTTGCTAGATTTGTGTCAACTTTGCCTTTTAGACTATAAGTGGTCTCAGAGGCCTGAGCTACATCAATGTAATTTCAAGGGACTATCACTGTTGGCACAAATTCCAGCTAACCAACCCTCGAGATTACTGGTGTTAGTGCCTATTAACATATACCCATTATCCAGTGATCCTGAATAGCAAAACTTTGCCACATCCAAGAAATATGACTACCCTTCCTGCCTTTTTCTTCAGTTGACTTCCTTACTAAAGACCCCCTTCCTTGGATGAATTTTTGGGCAAATCCCAAGTAAGGAAATCAGTGAATGTATTTTATTTTGCAACAAAGCAATCAAACAATACACAACCAATATGAATCAAACCTCTTTCTCCTCAAGCTCCTTACGGAGCTGCTCTGCTCTTTTCCTACGTTCTTCAAGCTCCATGTTGGATTCTTCTAGAAGCTTTTCCTGCTCCTCTGCTTTAGCCAGCAAATCTACGCCTCCCACAATCACTTTTTTTTCCAAAGCTGACAGCTTCTCCAGCAAAGTCTGGTGTTCTTGCCTGGATAAAGAGAAAGTTAAGAACCCAAGTTCTTCTGAATCAGAATTCTAGAGAGGCAGATTCTAGCTTCACAACTGATTCTTGAAGTCAAAGTGGTTTTTTATATTTATTCCTCAGTTGGGAAACCCCAAATTGCTAGAGAAATATTTGGTTCAGTTGGTTAATTCTATGCCAGTTCTAGTTAAGCCAAACAGGGCCTACTTTTCTGCAATTCCTCCTCTCCACTAGGGGATATTGAGGCATTTAAAAGTTTTTCTCAAGAAAAATCTCGATACTGATGCAAGCTGTACTAGGCAGAAAGTTCTGAGTCTTATTCTTACATTTAGTGCTCTGATTTATTTAACCTTTCATGAGGAACTAAGTAGTGATTGGCAGGAGGAAGAGGTAAAGAAATAGGGATTGATAAGTCTGTCTACATCTGAAATCTCAAATTGTTTAGTATTTTGAGCCTACGTTAGGGACATTTGGAGAGTGAGCAAAGACAGAGGTATTAATAACTCTCCTTTCAATGCAACAGATTGACATTCAAAGAATTCCATTCTTCCTCTGTAGGGTTGAGTATGTTGTACAAACTGAGAACAATATCCATGTTTGGGATGTGTAGCTTGAATTTCTATAGAGGACAAACTGGAAAGGATGAGAAAAGTCTTCATTTGGTCTGTGAAAATGTGTAAAATGTGGGATGTGTTTACATGTATTGTTTGGTAGTATTTCAAGTGCATCTGGAGTGGGAAAAATCCCCAAACTAACATCATTTGCAGTACAGGCAAACGTATGGAAATTCACCATGATACACTGAAAGTATGAAATTAATTGAAGAGGCTGATGTCCGCAATTGGGGTTCACGTCTCCACCATCTGCAACTAGACAAGATTCAATACCTTTGTGAATATAACGATTTTAAGCTCTATTAGGCAGACCAAGCAGCACACATTTTAGTGTCTACTTCCATGTGTATCCTTACTCTTTAAAGGACCCCAGTGCGAAAAATTTATATATGCCAAAATAACAAACATTTTGGGATTATTTGTTCTTTTATAAATTAAAAAGATCGTCTTTGTCAATAAAAACGTATTTTAAAACAATAGTGGTGGGCAAAGGATAATAAATTTAATGATTCAGATTATACCTACATAATGAAAATGGATCATTTCCATCACTCTGAAAGCAATATACAAGGTCAATACACAGTATTTTAATGTCTGAACTGCTCACTGTGCTTTAAGTAGGTCCTTCTCTCTCTTTTCAAGCTCTGCCCGGGCTTTGTTTCTTTCTTCCTCTTCCATATCAAGCTTTGTTTCAAGGGCTTTCCTTTCTTCATCAATCTTGGCTTGCATTTCCATCATCTTGTCAGGAGAAACCTTCTTCTTTCCTTTGAGGAGGGACAAAGGCTGATTAAAAACAGCACAAGCCAAAAACACATGTGTGTTTGCCTCCTCACATGAATCGTTACATTAGTAATTTACAGCAATTAGTAATTACGGAAATGAAACAATCTATAGTGATGCCCGTCACTGGGACTTCCAGGATTCACCTCCTTATCATCATCCAGTCAGGAAGCAAAGAGACAGGGGTATCTCTCAGTCTTGATACCAAATGCAAATGATGCATTACTAAGAATGTGCTCTATACATTTTGTAATGGAAGCTCTCAAATATATACTGACCTCAATTATGCCTTCCAGTCATGAAGCACAATTCTAGCTTATATAGCAAAATGAGTTGAACTGTGCTCATTTACTGTTATATGGATTTTTTAAAAAAACATACTCCTAAAGAGGATAGAATTTTAATACTAAAAATCGGGGAACAAAACACATTGGAAAAATAGAATAAAATGTATGAAGGAATAAATTAAAATGATGGAAGGAAAAGGGAACACAATTATCAAGGTAGAGTAGGCTTGCAAACCAAAATGAAATCTCTATGAATTGAAATGAGAAGTAGGAAAAAAAGGGGAAGACATCTTTGTTTGCCCCGTTTTGTTTGCCCTCCCCCATATTTTCATAAATCTGCATTATCTAGATATATCTAGAATGACAGCAACTGTACCTGAAAATAGGCAATGGTTTTATTGCTGTTATAAGGGGAAGCCCCTTAGAATACCCTATCTCTCTCTTCCACAGTTACCTTTCTATAATGTTAGATAAACTTTGTCTTCATAGTCATCCCATTTCAATTAAATTGGTAATTGCACTGCATTAATCATCTTAACATTTTCAGTGCATGCACCTTGAATTAACTGAGGTGAAAGAGAGAAAGAGAGAGAGCATAGCTAGGCAGTCTGGGAAAAAATCCTTAAGCAAGTCCTTTAAACTGTATTAGATGGAGTGCAAATCAAACACACCAACCTGCTTGATCTTGCATTTTAAGAAGAAGAGGCAAACAAATCGCAGAGAGGCAGCACACGCACAAAGAGGAAGGGAGAAGGGAGGGGGAAAAAAAAGAAAGATATTATTGCTTGATTTGTTTTGCAAAACAAACAAGGTCATAAGTAAAAGCATTCATCAAAATGTGCATTGGCAGATAAAAAGAAAAAACCTAGCAAATTAAGCACTGAAATGCAAGATTAAATCTTTGCCTTGCTACCCTACTTCTATACTGAAGCAGAGTAAGCACCTCATATTGAAGAACAACATGAATTGGCACCTTATTACAGGATAACATTATTTTTCTGAACAGTATTAAGCTAATTCTTGGTGTCCGTGCTATATATCTGCCACAGAGAACAGGGCCTAAAAGCATTAAAAAGTGTAATCTGCCATATAAATTGTATAAACTTGAGAATCTGAAGAAGCCAGTTGCCTCTTATATCTAGTGGAGCTTCCTTGGTATTGTGATTCCAATTGTCAGTCAACTGTCTGCCTCTGAGATGGCCAATCAAACACAGGAAATCTGAGTAATGACTGGAGGCTTCCATATCACATGGGAGTAAAAGTACTCTGGATTTCCTTTCAAACTTCAAAGGTGGTGAAATATTTTAGAGGGGGACAGGGTACCTGGAATATCCTACTAAAGCCCACACTTGCATCCAGAGCAGATCTACCATTGCATTGATATGGGGGCCACCTGCCACTGGAAGAGATCACGGCAAGCATCAACATCCATTTGAGCACAACACTGAATAGACATGTTTCAAGAAACTTAGATGCTTCCACAGAGGTGAAGTCACACATTATAGCTGGTGCTGTCAAAGAAAAGAAGGAAAGTGGTAGAGGGAAAGGAAGAAATGCAGCCAAAAAAGCTAAACAAAAACCATGCAACATGCAAAAGCAAATAAAATAAAATAAAATAAAGGAAAAAGTAATCACATGTATTTGTTTTCATTTAAATCTGAAGGCCCAGTCTATGTTACAGATCTGTCAATTTGGAGTTTCATCTATGAATTGTTCCTCAAAGGAGTACATTGCATTCTTCCTAAAAGCAGTGGCTTAGGACAGGAGCGTGGGAAGCCCACTTCAAAATACAAATGAAAGTGCTTCATTAAAGCCCTTTCACCTTGTTCCTCCTCATCAGCTGTCAAGATCAGTGATGCTGACATGTGTACACTAAAGGAATGTTGGCATTGCCTAACATCTCTAACACCTAAAATAAAACCCAGAGACATAGGGTTTCCCATTAATCTCTCTGAATAGGAAATACCTGGCAGTCAGACTGGGGAATATTGATTTCATATAGGTTGGGGAACCTTTGCCTCTCCATATGTGGTTGAACTGTCATTCTCATTAAACTTCCCCGCTGGCTATGCTGTTAAGAGCAAAGAGAACTAATCTGGAGAATTTCAAAGTTACTCAGCCTTGATGTGGAAGACTGTGGAAAATTTTTCAAATGCAGCATAATGCACTGAGTAAAGGAATTTGGAATCAAGAACAAACATTTCAGCCAATCTTGTCCCAAATTACAAGATTATGGACTTGGTCTAGCTCCTTTATCCAGAATAAGCTTCCAGAGAAAGAAGAGTAAAAATCCAACTGACAATGGAAATGGACAATGCTTGACAATAAGGGGACGCTAATGATGTTGTTTTTATTGCTTTTGTTGTGTTTTATACTGTTTTAATGCTTTAATCTGTATTATGATATTATGTGTACTGTTCTGTTAGAACCCGCTTTGAGTCGCCGATAGGCTGAGAAAGGCGGTATGCAAACACAGTAAATAAATAAATAAATAATATTACATGTAGTCAGTGCAAGGGTAAAACATTAAAGATCGCCAAGATAATATTTTAAGAATCAGTCTATTCTGTAGATCAATACCACCATGCTTTCGAGCTTTACAGAGGTGCTCTCCACCCAAAATTTTAAACAGCGCAGGTAAAAAGCATGCTTTATTTAGTGGGTGGGGATAATCCACACTTTACTCTGAACAAAACCAATGCTGAAGGCAGGGAGCAAAATGCAGCATCAAAACAATGAGTGCATAGGTTATGGAAAGGCCAAAGCTTCACTGGATGACTTAAGAGCTCCCACTCACTAGTGAAGGATTTGTCCAGAGGTTTTTCTATGACAGAGCATGTAGAGTCTGAGCTACTGCTGGTGCTACTGCCTGGAAAACAGAGAAGCAGGCCCCATGGAAAACCCAGGAAAGAAGAAGAAACAAGAAACACATGCTAAGCATTAGCTCTAAAGGGCAAGAGATTAGTTTAATGATGCACATCTTTCTCCAATAGCTTTGCTGTAGAACTGTGTAATAAACATCTTAGTTTGACATGTCATTATATGTAAAATCAAATGCATGATCAACAAAAGTCTTGGTCTGAGTAAAAAGACACCATTCTCGTTTCTTCAAACACTGCTTTGCCATGAAAATATTTTGGTCTTTGATGGCTTTTTAATTGTAACTAGTGAAAGATCAACTAAGAACTCAAAGAAGAAGAGGTCAGGAGAAGAGAAAGAGGACTCTGGTCTTCAATATCTTCCTTCCACAGGTCCTGGGTCTCAGTCAAAACCAAAATGTTTATAGATATATTCTGTCACAGTGACCTATCTACCTCTGGGAACATTACAGGGAACTGACTGGTGACATTCTTACCTCGTCCCATTTCACATGGATAATGTAGCATGCCAGAAGCTATGAAAGCAATAACTACCACAAGAGAGCAAATCTTTCTCTTTGGGTACATTTACACTATGCAGTTTAAACACTTTAATACAGCTTTAACATCCATCCAATGGAATCCAAGGATTCGATCAAAGAGACCAGAGTTCTGATGCTGTAATTCAAGGACACTGTGTTAGCATTGTCTGCTCAATTGAGTTCTCAACAACCTAGGTCCCAGGATTCCATGGAACAGAGGCAAGGTAGTTAAAGTTGCACCAAATGCTATATTTGTGCAGTGTGGATACACCCCTTGCCTCCTTTCCAAAATTTCTTTTTAAGAAAGACTACACTTTGTACTCTTTCAAGGAAAGGTTTGACATGGACTGAAGATATATACCCAACCTCACAGTCAGGAATTTGTGTGGGATGTGGGATAAATAAATACACGACCCTTTAAAAATAACCTTTCCCAAGAATGCACTGCAACAGATAAATAACATTCTTCTGAAGGACATGACCTGGAGTCCTATTAATGCATCTTCCTTCTTCTCCTGGAAACAGAATTCAAATGAGAACTTCCTTTATGAACTAGCTTTCAAAGTGACAGCAATAAGGGGAATTATTTTCCTTTTGAGGCCATCTGAGTATCATCACTGCTGCCATCTGGGATAGTTTATTTTCCCATAAAGTGGAAGCTCATAATTATCAGCTACAACTGAGCTGGATGGTGATTGGATGAGACACCATCCAGCTCACTACCAAATTTAAAGAACTGGAATTTGCCTCACTACTCTGAATGAGAACAAAGCCAACAAAGGAGAGAGTTTCAACAGTTTCTTCTCTTAGCTGCAACAAAGGCAATTGTCGACATTTTTATTACTTGCTCATTGTGGTACAAAGAAGATAAAGAAAATAAAGATCATCTGTCAAAACCATCACCCTGGAAAGGGGAAGGCCAATTTTGCAGACCTACACAAACTAACATGAGTTGCACACAGATACACATTTCCAAAAACAAAAGAGATAAACTTATGGAAAGAAAGTTAAGAGATGTGCAAATTCTTAACACAGAGTCCCTCAATATTGACGGTTGCTTAAACAGACAGGGCATTTCCTCTGCCTTGAAATACAATGCAAGGTGACATCAGGAATCATGTATTCCCTCACTGCACACTTGTAGCAACATCCAAGCTAATAGTCCCTGCATTCCAATAACCATAGGCATTATCTTACCCAAAGTGTGACAACCATATTGGTCCCAATATTGAGGTGAACTTGTACTGAAGTAAATAAATTATACCTGAACATATCATACTCAGTCCTAAGTGTCATGACTGAAAAGTGAAGGAGCGCAAGTGCTCAAGGACTCTGATGTTACTACACCCACAAACTCACAGAGATTCTTCACCGACAAAATAGAAAGAACAGCCAATCTACCCTACACAGGCAAAGACATCCTTTAGCATTCAGCTTCAGATCACACCTTTTAAAAATAACTATTGCCATCCCATCCCAAGTTATCATCCACTTAGTAGACACATTTTATGACTATATGTACAATTAGCTTTCCACATGCACTGAGGTTAGGCGCACATGACCCTAGTGGAAATGAAAAGCAATGAATAAAGAAATTGCTATTTTAAAAATCTGAAATAACATCTTTCTAGGAATTTCTAGGTCTTTCAGTATTACTTTATGGGGTTTTTTGTTGTTGTTGTTGTTTTTGTTGTGTCAGGAGCATCCTGTTGTGAGAGAATTGGCCGTCTGCAAGGACGTTGCCCAGGGGATGCCCGGATGTTTTTTTTGATGTTTTTATCATCCTTGTGGGAGGCTTCTCTCATGTCCCCGCATGAGGAGCTGATAGAGCTCATCCGCCTCTCCCCGGATTCGAACCTGTGACCTGTCAGTCTTTTGAAATTCCAGTTAAAGGATGCTCAACCAGTAGGAACATAGGAAAATAATACAAAGTCTAGACTGAAATGTGTTTGTAGTAGGGGTGCAGAGGTGAAGGCCTCCCAGATAATGTTGCACTGAAATCCCATCCTATCCTGCTGTCATTTAGTAACTCTGTGCTCCAGAAAACTATCACAAGCGAAACTATCACCAGCCTACATGGCAAGGGATAATGACAGTTGCAATCCAATGCAATAATCTGTTACACATCGCCCCCAAGGGGGGAAATGTGTGATATAAATAAAGTAAATAAATAAATAATAAAATAATATTGTCTGTAATGTTAAAAAAGTGAGTTGCTTTCTCAGCACCTTACCCCTTCGCTTCTTCCGTTTTTCTCCATCTTCGCCAATTTCCCCATCATCCTCATCTTCCTCCTCTTCAGAACCACTGCTCTCAGAGCCAGAGATCTCTTCCCCTGAAGTATCAGTATGTTTATTTAACCGGATTATAAAACAAACAAACAAAAACAAAACACCTTTCAACAAAAGCTCACCTATGGAAATTTATAATTATCAGTATGGAGCTTAACAGACTTTATGTTCACAGCTCAGAAATGTTTCTTCTTTTCCGATAATGCCCACAATTTTCTAGGTGGTATGGCCACTGGTCTCAATGACGAGGGAATTTTGGCAGGTGTAACACATGCACATATACTTTCCCATTTCCATTTTATTTCTTATTCTTTCCTAGCCTTCCCAGAAAACTAGACATCTAAGGAGCTGTTTTTCCAAGCAATTCAATAGTGAAGCATTGGTAGCTAGACAGGACCTCAAAGGTCTTGACACAGACCAAATCTTGTTTGCCACAGCCCTTGTTTTACATTACCTGTAAACATGTCTAAATTAAGAAGATGGCATGTCATTTGCAATCCAGTATGAACTCTAAATAACATTATGTAGGCAGATGTAGTATTTTATGGAAAGGTGTTAAGTTTTCATCCGAAGATGAGAAGAAGTCCAGCCCTAGAGCACTACTTACAAATTAGGAAAGGCCCAGGTTAAAACGTTCAGCCATGAAGTTTGGTCAGAGACTGTCTTTCAACCTAACCTACCTCACAACTCCTGCAAGGGGCAGGACAAAAACATTCAAGAAAACGATTTCAAATTCAAAATTCCTCTATGGAGAAATTTGAAAATATTCTCAGTGCTAAACATTGTTATCACTGTTATTTGTAGGATTAAAGGAAATCAACAGGTTACCTTCCTCCAACTTTTTCTTAAGTTCTTCTATTTCTTTCTGGAACTGCCGAAGTAAGGCATCCTTGGGATCTTCATTAATCCTAGCTTTATTCTTGATGTTCTTGGCACGGTTAGCATATCGCAGAGTGCTGATAGTCTCATCATAATTGTAGTCTGCTGGACCAATGTTTGCACACTAAGACAAAAGATCAAGTTATATAATTAAGGGTTTAGAAGATTAAGGAACCAGGCAAACTTCAGTTTAGGATAAACTAGGCGCAGGCCAATGATTGGTTACTGTGCCAACTGATAGCGACTTCATTTCAAAGCAAACATAAAACCTGTTTATTCACCCAAGCTTTCAAAGTTTAGTGATTTCAGCTTGGTTAAATAATCTGTGGGTATTCCCTGTCTTAAATGTTCAAATTGGTAATATTGTTTTTAAGCAGTTCTACTGACTGCCACCTGCCCTAGAATTTCAGGTGCACGACAGGTACACAACAAGATATAGCTGTTCAAATCAAGTCAAACAACATAATGTTGTTCACAGAGGAAACTACTGATCAAATCTAGTTGTAAGCAGTTCATGGACAAATTTAGGCTGGGATGGAGTGGTCTCCTATGTCAAATCCATGAGTCACTACCAAGTCCACATTTTCCTACATGTGAGCCCTGAATATGTGGACTCTAGAACAGAGCATGAGACTGCCTTGTAAATCCTACTCCAGATTAAAAGACTGTGTGGTCACTACTATGTTTAAACATAATTCCTCTCTACAATAAATATATGAGGAGCATTACAGGCATCCATTTTCTCTAGCCCCATAGTAATGGCACCAAAGCTGATACCACTGATGTTCTTGTAGGGTTTCTTCACTCCACAGAAGTTTTTTGTATGCTTTGAACTCCAATAGGAACACTGTTTCTCATAAGTCCCCCTCATCAGATTGCAATTTTGCAGTTTAACATACATAACAGACAACAGACATTCACTATGTGTTTCATTACCTTAGGGAACATAGTCTCTTTATACAAAATAGTGACTGTGTTCCCTGACATCAAGTGCTCTGACATTAAGTAATGAAATCCAAGAGGCAGATATCAGAAAATGTATATTCAAATTTCCTTTTCGCTCTTTTAAAGTTTGAACTAAAACCTAGGATGGATTCAGCACTGATATGGGGGCCACCAGAGAGCATAGGCCCTACTTACACAAAGACCCTCCTATTTGGAGGCCATGATATATAAGAGAAGTGATCCTCCATAAAGTTACCTATTTTGTCAGAATCTGTTTCACTATTCACTAACATTGCACATGGCTCTCTTGTTATTACCATCATAGTCTTGGAGTTGCCTCCAAGGGAATCCTGGAGCAATCGAGTCAGCTTGGAGTTACGGTAAGGCACATGAGTGCTCTTTCCATCAACCAGTGCAGAAATGACATTCCCAAGAGTAGAGAGAGAAAGGTTAATTTTTGTAGCTTCTTTCAGTCGTTGCCCAGTAGCTCCAGTTTTTGCCTGTCTTTCTGATCCCTGGTTGTTGGGGAGAGAAAAATTAGGAGGAATGAAAAGTTCAGATACTAAGTGCATTTTACAAACAGGACACATAACAAAATACGCTGCAAAAGGAAGAAAGACAACTGCCTGCATGAAAGAAGCAGTAAGGGTCAAACCTTGATACACTCAGAAGCCAATAGTAGTGCCAAAAAACTGGACTCCATGAAAGAATCCAGCAACGAATCTAACGTTACGAACTGGCTCTACAATAGGGTTAGAGAAAATATGGCCTACAAGCAACAAGTGGCCCCCAAAGCTCACTTTTGGGGACCCTGAAGCTCACCTTAGGTCATCCAATTTGTTTGCTTATTTGTGTAATTTACATGCCATCTTTCTCCCAGTACAAAACAATACAATTTCCTTTATCCAATAATTGAAAACTACCCCCTCCCAATACTTCCTTCATTAGCCATAACCTGTAACGTCATTCCTAGTGGCCATTTTGGTTCCAATACAATATATTCCATTGTACCATTAGGGATATATGTATGGATTTGGAGCGGGGGGGGGGGGCAGTTCAGGAGGAAACTGGCCTCCAGCACCTGGACAGCTATCCACCTTGCAAGCAACAATTTCAAGCAAATACTTGATTTGCTTGTGGACTGTATCCCAATCACTAACCAATTTTATTCGGCATAAGGTATTCTGGTATCAAGTCCATCTCACTGGTAAAGAATGGTATCAGCTGAAGTGGACTACAATCCACAAAAACTCATGTCTAATAGAACTCAATCATTTTTAAGGTACACTTTATTCTCTGTTTTTCTTCCAACAAGTTAAAACACGTTTCCTTACCCCAACCCTGGGAAAGCAAAATAATCAAGTCATTACATGGATTATTGTGAAAGGCTTACAAGTCAGCAGACCAAAAAAGTGTCAGGCTTTTTTTTTTTTTTGTTTCCAAATGTCATGACCTCAAGGAACTGATACAGTATTATACAAACTGGGAAACAGAAATATTGCATTAAGAACAGTGAGACTCACCTAGTTTAGGGGAATCTAGCACATTTTCAATCAGCCAAGAAAGCTGCCTAGGTTATTCAGATTGCCTGAGGCTGCAATCTTATGCACACCTGCTTGGGAGTTACGCATTATTGAAAACAGCAGCAGTGACTTCTCAGGAGCAAAGCATAGGATTATTCTGCATGAAGAAACCCATGAAATGCCTTGTGACAGCATCTCAGCTCCTACAATAATCCAGGTCATAAGAATTGCATTAAAGGGCACGTAATGGCTTACCGCAAGATCTACTAGGTGCAGCTTGCCCATGCGTACGTGGATATTGCCATCCACACCTTTCTCACTGCATTCAATTGTTATTGTAAAGATAGCATGGGAACGGGAACTGTGTTCATTCATATTAGTTGCCCCAACAGAACCTATTTGCCACAGAAAAGTAAAAAAAAAAGGTTTACATTATCACATCATCTGTGATATAAAAAGAAAACGTTGTCATACAATATTATTTTTATGTTCCCCACTTGCTGTTTTGTTTCACTTTTTACATAGATAAAAAGCAAAAACCTAGACATATGCTTCAATTTAGTCCTCCTTTGTCAAGAATCTATCTTTCCAAGCTGCCTCTGATGTGCAAAATTTATATGGGAAATGAAGAAACTTACACCAATCTGAAATATCATTACCTAGTATTCCCTAGATCAGATACTCTCATGTAGCTCTTATCCCATCATATGCAACAAACACATCCAAACCAAATGGGAAATTAAACTCTTTCTAAAGAAACTGTTTCCTATTTTCCTTCCTTTTTAATAAATGCCAATTGTAGAAATCTAGTGCATTCTAGTGACAAATTACTAGATTTGGACCCTGGAGATCAAGTTTATATCCCCACTCACTGGATCACCTTGGGGCCCTGGGTATCAAAGGACCCCTTTCCCTAAATGTAATACCACAGCCATTGTAATTAACTTTGGAAGGAAGGACAGGAAATGAACTAAGGGAAGTCCCATACAAGTATTATAGTCCACTCCTTGGGACTCTTGGCCACAGAAAAGTGGTGTTTAACTTTGAGGCAATGCAGAGGATGCACGTGGTGCCACTTGTTATTTGCTGCCCTCAGTATTTTTTACCTTGGAAATAACCCAGCAAGTGGATTTTAATTGCTATGCTGAAGTAAAATGATATTTCAAGCACAACTGACAAGATGGTGGAAAACAACATCTACATGGGTATTACAGAATTTGGTAAAAGCTCAAACAGCTGAGTGTGAACTTGATCAATTAATTAAAGGAAGCTGCTGCGAACAAATGCAGAACTATAACTATCAAATAGGCCATATTGGAAGTTTCCGTCCATCTCCGTTGATATTGTGGTTGTGTTCCTCAACCACTCAATTAGTTAGCTACGCAAAGTGGAAGTGAGAATAATCTGCTAAGGATGTAAAATAATCAGGTGGAGCTGTGTAACTTACGATTTTTGTGGCCAAGCGTCATAATTCTGTCCATATCATCTGCATTGTTCACAACATAAGCTGAAAGATCTTTGATATAGACTCCGACATCAGGTCGCTCTTTAACCTATGAAAGAAATCTAGCAGTTATTTTTGGAGGCTGTTTATCCATATTGACCTCTTCTTTAGAAATACTGTTTTCTATAGCCTTAGTATTCAATACTATTAACAGATGATATTACACATTTTATGATCTATGATTATTCACATATAAAGATTAATTCATCAGCATTTCACTCCATACATCTGAGGAAGCAGACTTAACTAGCGTCTTTTTATATAGTGTCTTTCTCTCAGTTAATTTCCAAAGGGTTACAAGATCCTTTTGGGTACTGAAAGCAGAGGATGAAACTAGTGGACTTATCATAAATTTAAGGACAGAGCCTTAGTGGCTAACTTTTCATTCCAAATAACTGAAGGTTATTGCTAGAGACAAGTATACTAGTTGGAAAGCCTTTTGGGTTCCTAGAGTACTTGAATTTCAAGAGAAATGTTAATTGTAACTTCTTGTGTGAACAACCGTAATAGTACAAATAGTTTAAATTAGGCTGATGTAGCTAGCTGCTTATTTCCAGCCAGCAAGTCATATTAAAGCACACATATAAATTGAAAGCAAAATTAAAGTCAATGGGATTACAAAGGGCAAGAAAGCTAAGTTGGGTCATGAAGCACTAGGAAATAAAAATACACAAAATAGGTAAGGTATGTTTATTTCACAACTGAAATTTAACTGATTAGAAATGGAATCTACAACGTCCAAGGGCAAAACTTTGTATGGCATCAACTTTACATAACATGTAGCTGCATTAAGTTTTTCCACATAAATCTAATCTAATTTGTATCTTTTGGCTAGCTGGTATAATAAAAATTGAAAGAGTCTGTGCCATCCTACTCTCTCACTCTTTCCCATCTGTAAAAAAAAGCATGAGAATATGCTTCACAGCTTAGTTGTTAAGCAATGCCCACAGCTCTTTTCAGTACTTTCTACCTGACAGCAATAATTAACAAATATGTAATTCTTACCTCTAGCCTCTGTGTCTGGTCCTTCCCCAGTAGGTCACGCACTTCCTCATTGTAGATTTCCAAATAAGAGACTCGAACCAAAAACCTGAAGTTGAAAAAGACAACAAAAGCATAATTACAATTTCAAATCTGTTCCAGAGATAATCTGTCATGCTAGCATGGAGGCAGGGAAAGAATGTAGGTTAAGATCTACTAGTAGATCTCAGAGTAATTTGCAGTAGATTAGTGAGGACTTCTGACTGCAGCAGCAAAAAGCAACTCCTCCCTGTCTCAATTACATTACTTGTATGGAGAAATGAAGCATGGGTTGTTATAAAGAAGGACTTTAAACAATGTTCAGTTCTGGTATTAAAATACATACAGTATATATGGCTCACTGACAGTCCTCAGCTCACTGACAACAGACACAGAATTTAATGGGATTTAAAAGGGTAGTCACCAAGAAGTCACAGTCATTTCAATTAGGTTATTCTAGCTGGGGCTAACATTGGATTTAGACCAGAATGGGTTTAGCTTTAATTAAATTTCTTTTGTTCCACCTTCATAGAATCATAGAGTTTCAAGAGACCTCATGGGCCATCCAGTCCAACCCCCTGTCAAGAAGCAGGAAAATCACATTCAAAGCACCATTGACAGATGGCTGGAAGATCATGGGAGTTTTAAATGGAGGGGGGAGGGGAAGCAGATCTTCTCAACCGAAGTTATCTGCTCACCCTCACATTGGTGGGTGCTATTCTTCTGGTAGGCACTTCCAAATGCCGCCCACAAACAGGGAATTCAATGTACACCAATAAAGTACTTCTATGTCGCAAAGGTCACTGCCCCAAGATGTCTGATGCTCACTGACTTTGTTGGGGTCTGGACAAATCCAGAAAGGACAGTCTTTAAAACACTGATTGCTAAACAGAGCCTTTGTGACCAATGTAATCCGTCTCCAGAAATCAGATATGGGAGACATACATGTCAGTGATGCTGCTTTCATGCCCTGCTTCTGATTTCCCTCAAAAGACAAAAAGGCATCTGGCTGCTCAGTGTGGAAACAGGATCCTTGATAAGATGAACCCTTTGGTAGGCTACAAAAAAATGCTTCTCTACATAGCAGGGATAGAAGAAAAGAAGACAAATAATTTACCTTGTATCCCCTTCAGCCTTTGCAATGTGTCCAAATATATGAGCAAAAGAATTGGGGATGATCCCTCTGAGTTCTGGAACAGCCCGGACCCCTTCCATAGTAAATGTCTTTCCTGTACCAGTCTGTCCATAAGCAAAAATGGTGCCTGCAAGACAAAACAGTACAGATATTTTCCCATAGTGGCGAAGCAAAGATTTAATTCCTTCTTTGGGAACACCAATGCTCTTAAGAAAGGAGACTACAAATAGCAGATCTTTCTCTCTCTCAACACTGGAAATGGGATAAAAGCAAGCTTACAGAATTTCTGAATAGGGATGATAAATTAATTTATTTCTGGTCTGCTAAATACTAGACGTATTTGTGATCTTAGATCTTCAGGTAGCACACAATAAAAATATGGTGATAATCTAAAATTCACATATTTGTCTTTTGACATGCCACTGAGTAAAACACAAGAAGCAGGTGTGAATCAAATCAGTTAATTTTTAATGTAGACTGAATTATCTAGCCTCCAGAGAATAAATCCTGTTTGTTATAAAGACACAATGTGTTTCTGTGACAGGCATAGAAAGGGAGTGCCTTCTTCATTTTTCTTTTACATTTTAAGGCTTCACAATGAACCTGGAATATTTACATCACATTCGGCTATACTGGCACTTTGTAATTACGAGTTTTCAACAGGATTTCTAGATTTCTCTCCAGGTCTCATGGGAAGGGAAGGAAATCTCATGAAGCAGGTACTGCCTCTTAATAGAAGTTTTGTTTGTTTTTGGTTTGGCTTCTTGCTGTGTCTTGCTGCCCCTGTGCCTTCTTACTGTTCCTGCTGGCTGCTTTGCCATGGCTGCTGCAAGCTTTCATTCTGGTTGCCTCCTCCTGCGGCCAAATGTTTATCATCCCACCGTCTGAATCAACACTCAACAATGACCAGTATGGGAAATACTAAGCTGTATCAGTATTGCCATTTCAGGAATTATTTAATATAGCACTAAAAGAGGGGCTGCTTGGTAGATTTTCCTACTTTATTAGTAAATTACCCACCTTCTTCATCCTACCCAAAATGGTTGAGGAGTCACAATCATAGTCTGATGCTCAGCAATTGCATCAGTATTGGGGGGAGCGGGTCTGCTATTAATGTTCTTCATCCTCAGCTCTGCTTAGGCACTTTTTTTGTACTACACTTCTCCCCTTCTTTTTTTCTCATCATTTTACTTCCAACTTCTGTAACTCCTGCCTTCATTCACTTCTTTTTCATTTTCTCATCCCTGTTTCTCATTCCCTAGTTCATCACCCCTTGCCTTATCCTCTTTCCCTCCCTCTGCTTTCTGCTTCTAACCTCCACAATGTCTAACTCCTGGCTTAATATCTTATCTTTTATCTCATTTCCCATCTTTTATATTACCTAGTTTCTATTTCCATTCCTAGTCTTTTTCTCTCTTTCCTCCTGTCTCTAGTTCTGGGTATATTTAACATATTAAAGTTTTAAGTCCAATTAAACTCAAACATTGAACTAAATAGATATAATTGCAATCCCCCCCCCCTCCAAATTTTTTTTAGTGATTAATAATCTGGGTAGTGGACTGGCACTGCTAATGGGAAAAGCCCATTAACAGCTGAATGAGGAAAATTCTATTTTTTACACAGAAGAATACCTGTTTGACTACAACTCTTGTTACAATCACCATATAAACAGACCTGGGAAAAATTTGGATTTTTCTTTTTAGAGCACAGAATGGAAAACCTTCATCAACTGGACTGTAACTCCCAAGTGGTCTAGGAAAAATCTGTCTTTTTCTGTTCAGTTTAGAATTTTGAAAATTTCATTTCCAATCAGAGATATATTTGGCTTTTTAAGTTTCTTTTTCTTTTTTCTTTCTTTCTTTCTTTCTTTCTTTCTTTTCTTTCTTTCTTTCTTTTTTTTGTTTTTTGCATTACTATTAATTTACTTATATCCTGCCTTTTGCCCTGGACTCAAGAAAACTTACAAAAATTACAATAATAAACAAAAATTACAAGAAACAAATAAAAGTTCAGAACACAGAAAAGCATGTGGCATTATTAATAGCAAAAAATTTAAAAAGCAATCAATATGGGGAATGCAATATATTAATAAGACTTATATCACACATGAACTATCATTTCCCAAAGCCTTATTAAGAAGTCTAACTTCTGTTGGAAAGGTCCAAGTTGATTGGCTGTGTTGTACAATTATATTTAAATACATCTTCATTATTGCTTTGATTTCCCACCATTAATTACAAAAGCAGAGAACAAATAAAGAAACCACCTTGGTGTTCTGCATTTCTGTAGAATCACTAGGTATGACCAACAACATAAACAACACATTCTATCCGTAATACTTACTGAAGGAAGTTTAGCTCCCAAGAAATTATATTTTCATAGCCTTATCCATGTATGTCTTTTTGTTCATTATTTGTATGTTAAAAAAAAACTCATAACTTACCATTGTATCCTTCCAGAACAGAATCAATAATTGGCCTTGCAGTTAAATTATAAACATCAAGTTGCTTGCTCTCTGGTCCAAAAACTGTATCAAACGTAAAAGTCTTTGGAGGTTCATTGGAAGAATCTGTTTTATGGACAGTAATTGTTCCTCGCATTTCATCAACATTAACTGACATTTTGTAACACATGGTCTTCTCTCGCTCATTGAAAGGTCGGCAGCGAACGACCACCTTGACATTGTCAGAATTTTCTGTCTTGTCCGACTTCTCTGATTTGTTGATCTATATTTTTTAAAAAAAAGTTTTAATTCATAAAACAGCAAGGGAAAAACACCGAGTTATAAGGGTGTTCTGTAATTAAATTGCACAAATCCACTAAAAATACTTTTTGAAACTAGGTGAAGATCATTAGTTCATATCCAGAAAGCACAAGACCTGCAATGAGAGTACTGAATTAACTGCATGGAGAATTCAACTCTCTCTAGGCCTCTTTGCTTGTTTTGCTGCTCCTTGTATCAGAGGACCAAAGTTGTAGCAATAGAGATGAAGACATTCCACCTTATGCAAATGTGTTTTCTGGTGTTTGCATATTATGAAATATGAATAATGGATATTATGGAATATAAACATGGAAAAACATATCAGGACAGGTTGAAGAAGCTGAGCTTATTCAGCTTAGTGAAGAGAAGACTGAGAGGTGACATGATTGTAGTCTTTTAATATATCAAGGATTGCTGCAAAAAAAAAAGAGAGAGTTCTGGCTTGTTCTCTGCTACCTCAGAGGGTAGGAGACCCCGATGGCTCAATGGGTTAAACCCCTGTGCCAGCAGAACTGAAGACCGACAGGTCGCAGGTTCGAATCCGGGGAGATGCGGATGAGCTCCTTCTATCAGCTCCAGCTCTTCATGCGGGGACATGAGAGAAGCCTCCCACAAGGATGATAAAACATCAAATCATTCAGGCGTCCCCTGGGCAACATCCTTGCAGATGGCCAATTCTCTCACATCAGAAGCGACTTGCAGTTTCTCAGGTCGCTCCTGACACAACAAAAAAAAAAAACAACAAAACTTCAGAGGGTACGACTAGGTCTAGTAGTTTTAAATAGCAGGAGGGAAGATTGATAGAATATTAGAAGGAATTTCTTGACAGTATGAGTAGTTCAGCAAAAGAACAAATTGCCTCCTTCTTGGGACATCTTCAAACAGAGTTTGATCAGCTACTTGCTGGGGATGTTGTTGCTGGAGCTCTTGCAATGAGTAGTAGGGTGAACACAATGGTCCATGATCCCCCTTCTAATTTTAAAATTCTAGGTTTCATTCTTCTGTGAACAAGAGGAATGCTTATTCTCAGAAATACAACAAGTTTCTTAAGGATCATAAAACGTAATAACTTATAACCCAGCTTTCCCCCAACATGCAACCCAAGCCAGCTCATCAATATAAGTTAAAATTTATATATCAAAGGTTTTTTTAAAAAATCCAATGATCCACTATATTGAAAATATTACGGAATCATGGTTGGAAGGGAGAACAAGGGCCAACCAGTCCAACCTCCTGCGATACAGAAGCACACAACCAAAACACCCCTGATAGATGGTTATCCAGCCTCTGATTAAAAACCTCCAGAGAGGAGACTCAAGTCAGGAGGCAGCTTATTCCACTGCCAAACAATTCTTCCTAATGTTTAGGTGGAAACTCTTTTCCTGCAATTTGAACCTACTGCTCTGTGTCTTAATCTCTAGAGCAGCAGAAAATAAGTCTGCAACCTCCTCAATGTGGCATCTTTTCAAATATTTAAACAATGGCTATAATCACCTTCCCTGCTCCCCAGCTTTTTTTTCTCCACACTAAACATATCCAACTCCCTAAGCTGATTCCAGGACTTGGCTTCCAGACTTTTGATAATTTTAGTCATTCTTCTCTGGATGCATTCCAAAACAGTTTTACAAAGCAATTAGAATATAGTAATAATGAGAAAAACTACAGCACATCCCAACTAAAACACTGTCTACACTGGACAGTTAACAACAATTTTTATCCAATAGTGAAAAGAGAGCAGAGACAGGCCAACCTAACCTCTCCTGAGAGGGAATTTTGCCACTTGGAAGCCCACTAAAAGGGCTGCCTGACACATCACCAAATGAGGCTGCAATTATGATGGGGTTGAGAGACCTCTCCTCCCCCCCACCTTAAAACTCAAGCAGGTTTGAAATGGGATCAGTTTCATAGGGTATATTACAGTAGCCCAAACATTATGTAAATGATGTAATCAAGGAATCTGTCACCATGGCTAGATGTGACATCTCAAGGAGCAACCACAGCTAGTAATCTGGCTTTAAGTGTGTGTACTGATTTCTTGCCTTTGCAAAGACCTGCCCTCCAGGTTCAGGGCTGAGTCCAATAGTACGCGCAAACTATGGAGTTGAAATTTCAGGATGAGGGCAGCCTCATCCACCTCAGGTTGAATCACTACTGAATCACTGACTTGTTTCGGATTGGAAGGAAAGAAGAGATAGAGGTGAGTGCCATCAGCTTACTGACAACACCTGACCTTCAAAGTCCAGATAACATTTCCCAACAGTATCATGTATATCTCGAATAGCGCAGAAGACAAACTGTACTGTACTGTCATGTCTAATTTATTTATAATTTTTTTCAAACATTTGTACAGTCCCCTTCTCACCTCACCCCCCCCCCTGAGGGGGGGACGACTCAGAGCAGTTTACATCTGGCACAATTTGATGTTATTACATATAAATAATACATACAGTAATACATATAAAACACAGTAAATTGATTACAAAATTAGTTTTAAAATAAAAATTATAGTGATAAACAATACAATAATACTGGCTTCTGGTTGGCCCAACAAAAATATCACTACAAGATGGATTTCATATTTATTTTTTATGGTCCACATGGTTATCCTTGCAAGTTTTTTTGAAAGAAGATGGTGTTCTTTTCTGTATCATCAAACAGAATTTGACTTAATAGCCTTAAGTTACAAGAGAGCAGATATTAGTTAAAATTACAAAAAAAGTTCTTCACTGTAACAATAGATTCAGACTGAAACTAATTACTTGGTGGGGTGATAAGTCCTTCAACCCTGTGATTTTAAGCCAAATATGCATTTACACTACACATGGTTAATTTCAATACCTATCATGGTCTAATGGTGGATGCTTTTCTCATTGTGTTACTGTTTCCCCTGAATCTACAACAACCTCAAAGCCTTCACTTCATCTTTTTTTGCTGAGATATTCAGGAACATGATAGCAACAAAACTTTTCAAAGCCAACTGAGTGGTCTAGAAGGCCTTGTTGTAGAACAGTAGATTAATAGTAAGTCTACATATAACTTAAAGATACACGCAAACCAGGCACAACAAGAGGGAATAAAATTTCACCAGCATCACTGTATCATATCCTTATACAAATAAAGACCAACACCAATATTTTAGCAAGGGTGATCTTATTCTTTTGGGCAGATGAGATAATGTCCACATAGACTCCACCCTCTTTATCAATAGATGAAATTGCAAAAGAGTGAATGTTGAAAACCCACAGCTTTGAACATGTTGCCAATTTCTATAAAAGAATTGTACCAGTGAGTCACATTTTTCTACAAGACTTCTCCATAAACCTAAATAAAATAATGTGGTTGCAGGATACTCTGTTGCAGTCTAAAAGCAAGAAAGGATGTTTCTTCCCAAGAAAGATACAAATTACTCAATATGTGGCTGCTTTTAGCTCAATGTTGGGGTTTAAAAAAATTCTGAATATCACTTAGTGGCTGCTTTAGACATTTACACAAATCTGTTGCGCAGCGTTTGCAGTGGACTCCACAAAAGATGCTTCAGCTATATTTCATGCAAAGGAAAATGAATCAGTTTAGTAAGTCTTACAAATACTTATTTGTTTATCAGTAAATGTGTCATTTTTATACCTATTTTATATACTTATATATGTATAAAAAATCTTTGTCTCACCCTGGTCATTCCACAGATATATAAACCCCTTTTTTCCCAGTTCCAGCAGACCTCACCTCTGAGGATGCTTGCCATAGATGCAGGCGAAACGTCAGGAGAAATGCCTCTAGAACATGGCCATATAGCCCGAAAAAAACCCACAAGAACTGTGTGTATAAAAAATCTCATGCCAAAAGGGGTCCCAAGCTTAAAAGTTTAAGTACCCCTGCTCCAGGCTATACAGCTAGCCCTTCACATATATGGTTTTAACTTTTGTAGATTTGATTATTCACATATTTCATTAATATGGTCTGTTTAGGAATCTCTAGGTTCTTCAGAGTGACTTTATAGTTAACTTCTGCCTAGAGACTCCTAGAGATGTGTTCTTTTAGGTTTTAAAAATGTGCTTTTTATTTGTGTTTTCCCCACTTTTTCAGGCGTCCTGCAACCCCAAACCCAGCAAATGTGGATGGCTGACTGTATTTCAAAGGAAGGAACTGGGGGAACTACCTCTGAATATTCCTTCTCTAGAAAATCCTATGAAATGCACAGGGTCTCCATAAATCAATAAGCGATTTATGGTAAATCATAGCATACAGGGAGCTCTGGCATGGGCTAGTCCAGGAGGTCACTTGACTGAACGAATAAACAACAACAATACCATACACACATATGTAGTGATATACATATACTGTTATCCTTACATGCTAGTTATGTATTTTTTATTTTTCATGTCTGTTTTCTGTCCTTTTAATGATTCATCCTGTCCCTCTCATCCTGTCTGTAAAAATAAGGATGAAATACCTTAAAGGCACCAGATTTTGTCTGATCTTGGAAGTTAAGCAAGGCCAACCCAGGTTAGGACCTGAAGGGAGGTTGTCAACAAATACCAAGGGCTACAGGCTATATTTCAGAGGACAGAACTGACAAAACAACCTCTCAGTATTCTTGCCTAAGAAAGCCTTGCAAAGTTCATGGGATTGGCTTAAGTCAACAAGCAACTTGGAGGCACATATAGACGTACACTCACTCATAAAGTTGTAGATTCAGCCCTACTGATCACCAGTTCTGCATCCATAGATTACACTGGTCAACACACAATTTAGTGTTTCAAATATTAGACCTGTTTCGGGGTATATCTGACCTGCTGTTTCCAGAAAAGGCACTGGTTTTACTCTATCAGCATTAGTTTTTGGGAGAAGAACATATTTATTTATTTTCACCATTTATATGCCGCCTTTCTTACCCAGAAGGGGACTCATATGCCATATACCAGTCACCATCTGCTTACCCATAAAGAATCATGGGAACAATATATAAGCAACTATAGATCCCTAGGGAGTGAGTTCCAGAGTTGGGGGGCCACCATAAAGAAGGCCCTCTCCCTCGTCTCCACCAGTTGCGCCTGCAAAGGGGGCGGGAGCAAGAGCAGGGCCTCTCCACATGATGGAAAAGATCGCGTGGGTTCATAAACAGAAATAAATAAATAAATCTATATAAATAAAAATGTAATGTTTGTTTGTGGGATTAACAGAACTCAAAAACCATTAGACGAACTGACACCAAATTTGGACACAAGACACCTAACAATCCAATGTATGTCCTTCACTAAAAAAATTATTTTGTCATTTGGGAGTTGGAGTTGTAGTTGCTGGGATTTATAGTACACCTACAATCAAAGAGCATTCTGAACTCCACCAATGATGGAATGGAACCAATCTTGGGACACAGGACTCCCATGACCAACAGAAAATACTAGAAGGGTTTGCTGGGCACTGACCTTGAGTTTGAGAGTTGTAGTTCACCTACATGCAAAGAGGACTGTGGACACAAACAATGATGGATCTGGACCAAACTTGGCACAAATATTCCATATGCCCAAATATGAACACAGATGGAGTTTGGGGAAAATAGACCCTGACATTTGGGAGTTGTAGTTTCTGGGATTTATAGTTCACCTACAATCAAAGAGCATGCTGAACCCCACCAATGACAGAATTGGGACAAACTTCCCACACAGAACCACCACACTTAAGGCCATCCAGTCCAACTCCCTTCACCAGGGCAAGAAAACTTAATCAAAGCCCTCCTGACGAAGAGCCATCCAGCCATAGACATAGATATGATTCACACACAGAGATATAGTATCATAGATTTGAAAGGGACCCCTAAAGGAGGACAATTATATGTCGCATGTTCCAGAGTAGGCAAACCAGACAAACTCCACATCAACACTGACAAAGAAACAAGAAATACTGTTTACCCACAAGCATAAAGAAATTACATATATTAGAAGCCAACTCTTTCTCATTACTTTATTTTCCACATCACCAGACTGGGCCACAGCAAAGCGTGGCAGGGGACGGCTAGTAAATAAATAAATGGCAACCATAATTAAGAAACTAGAGCCAATGTGGTGCATCAAATACAGGCACGGGCAAACTTGCCCCCCCCCCCGGATGTTTTGAACTACAACTCCCATAATTATTATAATAATAAAATAAAACTTTATTTATATATCACTCCATCTCCCCGAGGGGACGCAGAGCGGTCCCAGATTAACAAACAAAATATAAACATAAAAATATGTTTTTTATATAAACATAAAAATACACATATATTAAAAGCAATCCTGCCTGTTCAAGGCAATTAAAAATTTAAAAGGCCGGGCCAAGATTTGTGCAAGCCCAAAAATTCTAGGGGGCCAGGGAATTAAATGCAATGCTATGGCAGGCAACAATAATATTAGGTACAGGTCTGTGGCTGTTCATTCTGGGGCCGATTAGAGAAAAGAATCTGGGTAACTAGTAGGAAGAATAAGGCAGTATTCGACAATGTGTGAGGCTGAGTTAGAACTGGTCATTTTCAAAGGCTTGTTTAAACCACCAGATCTTCAAGCTCTTACAAAAGGAGGGGAGGGATGGGGCCTGTCTTATTTCCTTTGGAAGGGCGTTCTAGAGACGGGGGCCACCACTGAGAAGGCCCTCTCTGTTCCCCACCAAGTGCACTTGAGACGGTAGTGGGACCGAGAGGAGGGCCTCCACTGGCTGCCGGTTCAGTTCCGAGCACAATTCAAGGTGCTGGTTTTGACCTACAAAACCCTATACGGTTCCGGTCCAGCGTATCTGTCCGAACGCATCTCCCTCTACGTCCCACCTTGGAGTTTGAGATCATGTGGGGAGGCCCTGCTCTCGACCCCACCGCTTTCACAAGTGAGGTTGGTGGGGACGAGGAACAGGGCCTTCTCAGTGGTGGCCCCTCACCTGTGGAACTCACTCCAGGGAAAATTAGGTCATCAACATCCCTTCTCTCCTTCAGGAGGAAATTAAAGACATGGTTGTGGGACCAGGCCTTTGGGCAATCTGACAACTAGATAAGGACAATCAGATGACTAGGACTGACAAAGTGGAATTGGAAATTGGACTATGAGATGAGAACGCTGACCGTTAATTAGGTGTAAGTGGTTTTTATTGGTTTTATTGTTGTAATGCAGAAACTGTTGCTAACTGTTAATTGCTGCTATGTTGTTTTATACTACTGTTATGTGATGCCAGCATCGAATTGTGCCTTTGTAAGCCGCCCTGAGTCCCCTCCGAGGTGAGAAGGGCGGGGTAGAAGTAATCAAAATAAATAAATAAATCTTAGAGCTCGCGCCAGTTCATAGAAGGAGATGCGATTGCGGAGATAGGTGGGGCCCAAACCGTTTAGGGTTTTATAGATCATGACCTGCACCTTGAATTTGGCTCGGCAACTTATCGGCAGCCAATGAAGCTGTTTTAATGGGGGTGTTGTATGCTCCCTATAGTTTGATCCAGTAAGGAGCCTGGCTGCTGCCCGCTGTACCAGATCAAACTTCTGGGCCGTCTTCAAGGGCAGCCTCACGTAGAGCGCATTGCAGTAGTCCAGTTTGGATGTAACCAAGGTGTGGACCACCCTGGCCAAGTCAGACTTCACGAGGTATGATTGCAGCTGGCGCACAAGTTTGAGTTGTGCAAAGGCCCTCCTGGCCACCGCTGACACCTGAGCATCAAGCGACAGTGTTGAGTTCAGGAGGACCCCCAAGCTAATTCCTAGCAGCCTCAGGCCCCTTTTTATTTATTTATTTCGTATACTTCTGCCCCACCCTTCTCAGGCCCCAAGGGGGGACTCAGGGCGGCTTACAAAATGGCATAATTTGGTGCCTACACAAATACAATAACATATAAAAACAGCAATTAAATGGTTAACAATTAAAACAATTAAAACAACAATATATCTCACAGTCGATAGCCAATCTCAAGCACAGCGTTCGCCAACTCAGAGTCTATACTTCGTTCCACATTGTCTATTCCTATCCGTCGTCATAGTCCTGTATTCATCTGCCAGATTGCCCAAACGCCTAGTCCCACATCCATGTTTTTAATTTCTTTCTGAAGGAAAGGAGGGATGTTGCTGATCTAATTTCCCTGGGGAGTGAATTCCATAGGTGAGGAGCCACCACTGAGAAGGCCCTGCTCCTCGTCCCCGCCAATCTCACTTGTGACAGAGGCGGGGCCGAGAGCAGGGCCTCCCCAGAGGATCTCAGACTCCGAGGTGGGACGTAGAGGGAGATGCGTTCGGACAGATACGCTGGGCCGGAACCATATAGGGTTTTGTAGGTCAAAACCAACACTTTGAATTGTGCTCGGAGCTGGATTGGCAGCCAGTGGAGCTGACACAACAGGGGGGTGGTATGCTCCCTGTATGACGCTCCGGTCAGCAATCTGATTGCCTCCCGCTGGACTAATTGAAGTTTCTGAACAGTCTTCAAAGGCAACCCCACGTAGAGTGCGTTGCAGTAATCTATCCGAAGAGGGCTGGGGCTGTTAGGAATAGTGGGAGGTGAAGTCGAAAACACCCAGAGGGCCCAAGTTTGCCCATGCCTGATCTAATGCAACTGTCTGAACCAGTGAGCCACACAATAGCAGGCCAAAAAACCAAGAGACCACGATTAAAATGGGTTTGGGTTGGTCTGTGTGCTGATGAGGATGAGGTTGTCCTGTCCCTGTCTTCAGAGCATCATGGGGCTGCCATTCAAGGGAGCATTCGCTGAGAGGGAGGGGCAGTTTTGTCTCTCACGGCCATGAAGGGCGACGTGAAACCCCTTGAGAGAGGAGAAGGCGTCTATTGCAGCCCATCCATCCCTCCCTCCTTGGGCAGAGGCCGAGGGGCCTTCTTCCTATGCCTCTCCCGCCCTTGGCCTGCCTCCCACCCCGCCCCTAGCAACAACAAGCCCCAGAAGCGCAGGGCCCTGCGGGAAGGAAGGAAGGCAAGCCACGGGGAGAGGCTGCTGCTGGCTCACCGGCATCGTGCCTGCGCTGGCCCAAGATGGCGAAGGCGGCACCACCACAGAAGGCCGCCCCGAAGGACCAGAGACGAGGGAGACCCGGTCACCGGCGGTACCACTGACAATAACCGGGCCCAGCGCGCCTGCGCGGAAGGAATGAATGACAGCCCCTCACGCCACGCCCCGCCTGCGTCATGCAGAGGAGTCTCAGCCAATACGCAACGCCTCGAGCCAGCTCCCCCGCTGCTATTGGCCAAAGGTTAGGATTGGAACCGCCAATGGAAATTGTGGTTTGGGCCTGGTGGACGGGAGGAGCGGCGGGAGGGGCGTGGCTGGGCGGTTGGTTTTAAATGGGGAAGCGAAGCGACATCCTGTGTTGCTAAGCGAGTAATTGGATTAGAAAGGGATGCAGGCGTGGCATGAAGTAAACACTCCCTAGAAGCCACGGCAACTACACTGGATTTACACCAGGCATGGGCAAGCTTGGGCCCTCCAGGTGTTTTGGACTTCAACTCCCACAATTCCTAGGAATTGTGGGAGTTGAAGTCCAAAACACCTGGAGGGCCCAAGCTTGCCCATGCCTGATCTACACAGTGGAATTCATCCAATTTGACACCTCCTTTGATTCAATGCTATGGAATGATGGGAGATGTAGTTTGATGAGGCAGAGAAGGCAAAAGACTGCTGGTAAAACTACAACTCCTATTATTCCATTGCTTTGAGCCATAACCGTTAAAGTGGGGTCAAACTGCATTAATTCTATATGTGTAACCGCCACATCGCAGCTGCCTTTTAAAAAGCCCTCGGAGAGGCAGCCGATCCCCATTCACTTCCAGCATTGCCCGCTCTCAGTCCTTCCCAACAGATTCAACAAAGGATTCCCCTAGGCAGGAAGCAGCCGGGTTTTGAAGCTGCAAGGCCATTCAGTGTTAATTAAGGTGGCCAATTGCATCATTCAAATTTTCCTCCAGCAGACAAGAGTCCTTTCTCCCACTGTGAACATTCCAAAGATATGTAAACCTCACTTGCCTAGTTTCCAGCAGACCTCACAACCTCTGAGGATGCCTGCCATAGATGTGGGCAAAATGTCAGGAGAGAATTCTGACGTTTTGGCATCTATCCATCAGCCTCTTCACATGATGTGAATATTTTGTTAGTGGTGTTAGTTAATGCATACACTTTTTTTATAAATTATTTTTCATTTTCACTCTTGATTTTAATAATAACATGAAAATAAAAGAATGAAAATACTGATGATGTAGTAAATACAGATTAAAAAAACCAAAGGGGACAAACTGAGGGTGCATGGCTAGCTGTGTTCGGAAAGAATTGCAGCAACACTTTGCTGCTACTGAATGGATTCAGATTTAACAAATTGCATGTCCCGTGGTTTTGACAAACTTCAGCTGCAATTCTGTACCTACTTCATGGGCCCTTCAGAGTCAGTGAAATGCATTTCTGAACACATAGAACTGGACTATATTTTTCTGTCACTGGCTATAACGGCATACAAAAATACTGCCTAGTCAAGATTGGGCTCTTAGATTGCCAGTAGCAATGATTAGGTGATCCAGATGATTAGGTGATTAGATGACAGCTAGTATGTACTATATATATATATATATATATATATATATATATATATATATATATATATACACACACACACACACACACACACACACACTAGCCATCCCCGCCACACGTTGCTGTGGCCCAGTCTGTGTGTATGTGTTTTATGTGTGTATATTTTTATGTATATGTGTATATATGTGTTTGCATATGTGTGTGTGTGTGGTTTTGCAAATGTGTTTTTTTTTTATTTTTTGGCTTTTTGTGTTTTTCAGTGTTTTCATGAGTGTTGGCCTGATACGTGTATTGTGTCCAAATTTGGTGTCAATTCGTCTAGTGGTTTTTGAGTTATGTTAATCCCACAAACAAACATTACATTTTTATTTATATCCTAGCCACCCCCTGCCATGTGTTGCTGTGGCCCTGTCTGTGTATATGAGTTTTGTGTGTGTATGTATGTGTATATGTGTATATATGTGGTTTTGCGCATGCGTTGTAATGTAATTTTTTTTTTTTTTTATTTTTAAGTCTCTTCTGCTGTGTTTTTCAGTGTTTTCATGAGTGATGGTCACTCGTTGGCCTGATAGGTGTCTTGTGTCCAAATTTGATGTCAATTCGTTCAGTGGTTTTGAGTTATGTATTTTGCTTGTTTTATTGTGTTTGTGTTATAGCTTGTATTGTATTGATGGCCATGGCCTCATGTAAGCCACACCCAGTCCCCCTGGGGGACATGTAGCGGGGTATAAAGAAAGCATTATTATTATTATTATTATTATTATTATTATTATTATTTTATTGTGCTAATCCCACAAAGAAACATTACATTTTTATTTATATAGATATTACATTTGTTCTTTTACATTACAGTTGTAAGCACAGTTACTTAGAACTACCTGCTATCTATTTCAATGGAACATATTTCAAGGGAGACAGATTTAGGGTTGCAAAGCTCTGCATTAAATGAAGGCAGGGCAGGCTGCAAGTCTTTTAGCATCCCCAAGGGCCCCCAAAGCTGCCAAACTGAAAGAAACTGCTCACAAACAGAAGCTTACCCCTCCTCCCTGAACCATCTCCCTGTATCAGTTGAGACCAGAAGTGACCAAACATGTCTGGACATGTGAGTGTGGCCCTCCAGGGTGCCATGAGGGTGAAAATCTGGCCCTATTCTCTGTGCAATTGCCCAACCAGTTAAGATCAAATCCATGCTGCCTAAGTGCTCCAAACACTGATCCTGGAAGTCAGCCGCTAATGGTACTTGGATGGGAGATTACCAATGAATACCAGAGACAACAGGCTGCAGTTGAGTTTTCCCTCCCTAAGAGAGAATTTAGTATAAAGATGCTGATCAAGGACCTTACTACCATCCATTCATTGGGACAGTAGGTTCAGCAGGCTACACATGTCTTCCCTAGATGAATGACATAGAGAATGTATGACTTTTATTAATAAAATAAGACAATAAAGGATCATTTATTAACAAGAGGTTGGCAAGGAAATGATTTGTGCAAAGTAGTTTGTAAGCAGGCATGTAGCCAGGGGGGGTGGGGCTCGAGGGGCTTCGGCCCCCCCCCCCCGAAATTCTCATGGTGGTTCGCGAAAAGGCCTTACTGGTGCATTATTTAAACTGTTATGTTTATTCATATCATGATCTGATCACCATACTCAATATATCCCATATGCATGGGGGTATTGGGGTAATGATACAAAAGGTTTGCTAGGCTAGACCCTCTTTCACTCAGACTCAGCCCCCCCCGAAACTCAGCCCCCCCCCCGAAACCTTACAGCAAATGAACACGTCAAACTACTCTGGGACTTCTGAATTCAGACAGATAGAGTTTTGGAGCACAATACTCCTGACCTCACAATTGTGTTAAAAAACAAAGTATGGATTGTTGATGTTGCAATCCCAGGTGACAGCAGGATTGCAGAGAAACAACTGGAAAAGCTGAGACGATATGAAGATTTAAAAATCAAACTGCAAAGACTCTGGCAAAAACCAGTAAAGGTGGTCTCAGTGGTGATTGGCACATTGGGTGCAGTGCCTAAAGACCTTGGCCTGCACTTAAACACAATAGGTGCTGGCAAGATTACCATCTGCCAGCTGCAAAAGGCCACCTTACTGGGATCTGCACAAATTATTCGCCGATACATCACACAGTCCTAGACCCTTGGGAAGTGTCCAATGTGTGATTCAATACAACAGCCAGCAGTATCTGCTGTGGACTCATCTTCTGGTGTTTCAAATAATAATAATAATAATAATAATAATAATAATAATAATAATAGACTGAAGGAGTGGGGTCACCAGAAGGGTGAGCAGCGGATGCAAACCACACTGGGGGACACCATCAGTTTTTGGCAAAAAATTTCCCTATTTAATAAAAGCATCCGTGTAGTTAGGTGTAACCACAAAATATTTTTTGTCAGCCCGGTTTACATGTACTATATCAATAGACCTACAAGGCAACTGCCAAGAACTGAGAAAGATGTGGCTCATCATGTGAAGGTTCTTCTGAATGCCTCCCTGCCTGACATATTGCCCTGGCTTGACTCTCTGTCATTTCTCTCAAAACTCATTTCAGAGGACATCATGTTGTTCTTGTTTATTTGTTCAGTCGCTTTGTGACTTCATGGATCAGCCCAGGCCAGAGCTCCGTGTCGGCCATCAGCACCCCCAGCTCAGAATTAAACCGGTCGCTTCAAGGATCCCATCCATCCATCTTGCCCTTGGTCGGCCCCTCTTCCTTTTTCCTTTCATTTTTCCAAGCATCATTGTTTTCTCCAAGCTTTCTTGTCTTCTCATGATGTGGCCAAAGTACTTCATCTTTGCCTCTACTATCCTTCCCTCCAATGAGCAGTTGGGCTTTATTTCCTGACTGGTTGGATCTTCTTGTGGTCCAAGGCACCCTCAGAATTTTCCTCCAACACCAAAGTCCAAAAGCATCTATCTTCCTTCGCTCAGCCTTCCTTATGGTCCAGCTCTCACATCCATAGGAATTTTTTGTGTGTGTGTCAGGAGAAACTTGAGAAACTTGACTTGAGTAACCACAGATTACTACGGGGAATACCATTGTTTTGACTATACAGATCTTCATTGTCAGTGTGATGTCTCTACTCTTCACATTGGGACAAATTAAAAAATCTGGCCACTTGTGACCAGTAGGGTTTTGAACACACCTCAAGGACACCTTCTCCCCTGCACTGCTACGAAGAGTGACAGCAACGCTGGAGTTCCTGTATTTGATCACCAGGAGCTTGTTTTGAAGGAGATAAACTGTAATTGTATGTTATGTTCAGGCCCGTAGCCAGGATTTCGATGGGGGCGGGGGGGGGGCGGGGCTGAGTCTGAGTGAAAGAGGGTCTACCCTAGCAAACCTTTTGTATTGTTACCCCAATACCCCCATTCATATGGGATATATTGAGTATGGTGATCAGATCATGATATGAATAAACATAACAGTTTAAATAATGCATCAATAAGGACTTTTTGCAAACCACCATGAGAATTTCGGGGGGGGGGGGCTGAAGCCCCTCAAGCTCCCCCCCCCCCCCCCCCCCGCTACATGCCATAACTTATGTTCGATATTTTATGTTGTTTTACTTTGGGGAGAGATAGTATAGTTTGAGATATTGCCCAATGATCCGGTGTTTTGCCTACAATATTGTGGTCTGGTAGGGGAAGAGGCCCATGGGGGGGACGGGACACCAGGGGTTACCGCACCGAGTGACGTCATTCCTGGTGACGTCACTCGGTGGGATCCCTGCAGAGGAGCACGTCGCCCCCAATCCGCGGGGAGCGTCCCCCAAAAGCTGGAAGGGGAAGAGGCGGAGCGGGGGCGGTGCGAGCCCGCCTTTGGGAGGGACTGCTGTCCCTTGAGGAGGGGCCTTGCTGGCTCTCTCTCCTCCTCCCGCCCAAAAGATGTTTTCCTTGTGATTTGGGGGGTCCCTCTGGGTCTAGAAGGCAAAGGGGCAGGGAACTGGAGAGGGAGGCTTCACTCCAGCAACCGGTGGGATCTTCTGCGGGGACCCATCCCGCTTTGGCCAAAGGGCATGAGAGCAGCAGCAGCAGCAACAACCACAAAGGAGCCGAGGGCTGAGCTTGGGCTCTGCAGCGCAACAGCAGCGGACTCCTGCATGCCGAGCCAAGATCGGCCTCGGACGGAGGGAGGTAGGAAAGAAAGAGGGGAGAAGCGGGGGGGGGGGGGGAGAACAAGGGAAGCGGGTCTTCAGTTCGTCCCTGGCTCTGGCGCTTGGGTTTGGAGATGCCTCCCGCCCCGCCCGCTCGCTTCCTCAGCCGGAACTTTGTTTTGGAGATAGTTCGCAGAGAGTTTTCTCGCCCCTCCCCCCTAACCCCGACTCCCCCCCCGCCTCCCTTTGTCTGTCCCAGCCTTTGTGGCCAGGGCGAGCGAGGTCACGTGCCTGGCTTCCTGTTGTTTTGCTTTGGTGGAAGCGGAAGGCGTGCTGCGGGTTGGGCTTGCCTGTTGGTGTTTCTCTCCCCAAAGTGTCTGGGGAGCCCCCAGGGTGCAGCCCCACGGCGGAATTGATGCAGCTCGGCACCCCTGGGCTCCGTGCGGGGGGATCCCCGGAGTGGGCCTTTTGCAAGAGTCCCTCCCCGAACATCAAATCCCGGGACCCTCTAGTATTTTTTTCCCGTCTCAGGAGCGATTTGAGAAACTTCAAGTCGTTCTGGTGTGAGAGAACTGGCTGTTTGCAAGGACGTTGCCCAGGGAAATGCATATAAACCAGTGAGGTGCCCTTGCTACTAATGGTAGCTTTTATTGTGTACATTGAAGTCATTTCCAACTTAAGGTGACCCTAAAGTGGCCTTATGAAGTTTTCCTTTTAAGAGGAAGGTTTGCCTTTAATTCACTCTGAAACTCCCCCCCCCCATTTCAGGAGCGACTTGAGAAACTGCAAGTCGCTTCTGCTGTGAGAGAATTGGCCATCTGCAAGGCTGTTTCCCGGGGGACGGCCGGATGTTTTGATGTTTTACCATCCTTGTGGGAAGCCTCTCTCATGTTCCCGCACGGGGAGCTAGAGCTGAGAAAGGGAGCTCATCCGTGCTCTCCCCGGATTCGAACCTACGACCTCTCGGTCTTCAGTCCTGCCAGTACAGGGGTTTAACCCATTGCACCACCCGGGGGGGGTGGGGGGGCGGGGGGGCAGGGCAGGGCAGTTCAAGTCTTGTCAAAGGACAGTCAATCCACTTAAAATCCGGTTTCTGCCTCCTGCAGAATTCTGGGGTTTGTAGTTTAGGGAGGAGCCTTTAACAGCCGCACTAAACTACAAACCCCAGAATTCTGCAGAAGGCAGAAACCGGATTTGAAGTGGATTCATTCTCTAGTGTGATGAGAACCCTGTACATCTTGAAGGGTGATTCCTGGTTGAGTGTTTGCCCTCCCACTTTTTCCAGTTTTGAAAATGTTCCAGCTTTCCTCTCCTTTTCCCGTTCCCTCCTCCATCCAGACTTCTTGATTAGCTGTAAGAGTTCAAAATGCAACAGTAACTGGCACAGAGTGAAGATCTTGCAGACTCAGGTAAAGGCAACTGCTGCAGCCAGGCCTACCGTGGTGTGCCTTCATCCTCATCCATAACATTTTCTATCAATATATTGTCGAAGGTTTTCATGGCTGGAATCACTGAGTAGTTGTGAGTTTCCTGGGCTGTATAGCCGTGCTCCAGAAGCATTCTCTCCTGATGTTTTGCCTGCATCTATGGCAGGCATCCTCAGAAGTTGTGACCACTCAAACCCTTGCTTTGCCAATAACAAGCTTATGTGGTTTACTATAGTAAAGGCAAAGGTTTCCCCTTGACATTAAGAAACAATACCTATTGACCTACTCACATTTGCATGTTTTTGAACTGATAGGTTGGCAGAAGCTGGGCCTAACAGTGGGAGCTCATCCCACTCCTCAGATTTGAACCACCGACCTTGCGGTCAACAAGTTCAGCAACTCAGTGGTTTAACCCACTGCACCACTGGGGGCTCCTGGGATTTACTATACTGTCCCGTAATAAACTTCTCTTGTTTGATTTTTTACATACTTCCAAAATCAAGGGGAGGTGAAACCCCATGAACATTGGGTGGGTTGGTAGGTATAAGAAGTGTATTCTGGTTTGTTCTTGCATCCTCCTTATTGTGACCCTGAGGTGAATTTATCATGTTGTTGTTTTTTTGAAACGTCGTTTCTTTGAAAGATCGGGTTTCTTTTTACCTGTGCTGGATGCGGTTACACTCTGCCTGAAGACACAGGTCCACAGTTTGGGGGTCCTCCTCAACACGGCATTGAACCTGGAGACTCTGTATCAGCAGTGGCCCAGAGGGCCTTTGCACAATTAAAACTTGTGCGCCAACTGCGCTTGTTCATCTGGTCCAAAGAGCTGCAGTCAGGTTGCTCACTGGGACTGGCTACAGGGATTGGGCAACTCCCCTGTTGCAGCAGCTCCAATTGCCAGTCTGTTGCCAGAGACAATTCAAAGAGCTGGTTATGACCTTTCAAGCCCTAGACGGTTCAGGTCCAGTCTATTTGGCCGGCCGCTTCTCCTTGTACGAACCTGTCCTGAGATCTTCACGAGAGGCCCTTCTCTCAGTCCCACCTCCATCTCAAGCTCGGTCGGTGGGAATGGAAGACCGGGCCTTCCTACTCAGTGGTTACCCCTCGACTCTGGAACTCCTGTCTTCCCAGGGAAGCCTGAATGCCCCCTTCCCTTCTGTCCTTACTGCAGCAGGCTAAAACCTTTTTATTCAGGCAGGCTTTTAAAGAAGAAGCTTTTAAAGATCAAGTCGGGGGTGCTGTGGTTTTAAGCTTTGAACATATTTAATGTTTTTTTTTAAACTGGGAATTTTAAAAATACTGTTTATATTTAGTCCCGTTTTAATGTTTGCATATTTGTATATTTTAAATTGTATGCTTATGCTTTTATGTTAAGTCACTTTGAGTCAAACTACTCAAAGCGACTTAAGATAAACACATCAAACTGCTCTAGGACTTCCAAATTCAGACTGACAGTTTTGGAGCCCAATACTCCTGGCCTCACAATCATGGAAAAAAACAAAGTATGGATTGCCAATGTTGCAATCCCAGGCAACAGCAGAACTTCACTTCACTTCACTTTATTTCAACCCTAGCTTGTCTAGAACTGACAAGAAGCTATTGGAAAAGCTGACACAATATGAGAATTTAAAGATCGAACTGTATAGGCTGTGGCACAAGCCAGTGAAGGTGGTCCCAGTGGTGATAGGCACACTGGATGCTGTGCCTAAAGACCTAGGCCAACACTTAAAAACAATCGGCATTGGAAAAATTACCATCTGTCAGCTGCAAAAGGCCACCCTACTCGGATCTGCACGGATTATTCGCTGATATATCAATCAGTCCTAGACATTCGGGAAATGTCTGATGTGTGATCTTGTTTGGATTGTATTAATCTTGATGTGTATCAAATAATAATAATAATTCTGCAGCGGAGAGCCAGGACAATAACACTGTTTCATGATATTATGCCAGGCCTCATCATAAGTACCTTGCTAAGTGTGGTGAGGAAGTGGGATTCATTTTGGAAAATATGGTGAACCAATACTATCCTGTATAAATATTCAGAAAGACACATCCATGTTTGCTTGTTTCAGTATAAAAAGATACAGAGTAACCTGCTAATTCCAAAAATGCCACCAATTTCCCCCTATCAGGTTTAGTTTTTGAGTATATGTCATATATCAGTCACCATCTGCCTGCCCATAGAACTATGTTAACTATATATAAAAACCAACTTCATTCACCTTTCCTGTAATGAGTCAGGATGGTAGGTGTCCCATTCCTTATCATTATATCCTCATACCAGACCCAATGCAAGGTCAGTGTGAATGTGAGTGGTCCAGAATCACCCAGTGAGTGTTCTTGACTTTGAGGATACTTGGGAATGAATAAGAATTTAAGAAATGTCATGCTGGATTATATCAAAGGCCTATCTAGTCAAATGGGAAAGGCAACTCTTCCCAAACTTCTGTTCCTGATAAACTTTGCCTTGATATTGAGGGTGATATGTAGTATTCTGCCAAGCTATTAATGCATTTGCATTAGCCTTTAATTTGCCACAGGGCTCTTTATAGTATTCAAGGACCAATCTTTTCCGGGCACATCCTTTTGTTGGATCATGCACTCTTTGCAGGAATGTGAACTCCCCATTAAGCTCCAGCTAGCCTTTTTACACCTGAGGTATTTACATATGAAAGAAAGACTTCAGTATGTGCTTACATTTCTATTTGGAAAGAATAGGTGATAATGGTGCTTGAGCTGGGGAATGTATGTAGACCATTGATGTGTCCTTGCTTCTAATGGTTGGGTCAGAGACAACTTTTGTTGTGTGCATTGAAGTCATTTCCAACTTAAGGTGACCCTAAAGTGACCTTATGAAGTTTTCTTCTTCAGAGGAAGGTTTGCCTTTGATTCCCTCTGAGACTATGATCGGATGACTTTCCTGAAGTCACCCAGTGGGTTTCCATGGCTGACTGGAAATCGAAATTCTGTTTTCTGGAGTCATAGTTGAACATTTAAACCCTTGCACCACATCAGCTCCAGACAAGTTACACAGAAGGTGTTAATTGACTTAGATTCAAGGTTTTTTTGCAGTGTCCATTGTGGAAGAAAGAACTCTGCATGAGGTAAGTGTGAATGTTGCAGATGGCCACCTTAATTAGCATTTAATGGCCTGCAGCTTCAAAGCCTGGCTGGTTTCTGTCTGGGGGAATCCTTTATTGGGAGGTGTTAGTTGGCCCTCATTTCTGTCTGGGGGAATCCTCATATTGGGAGGTATTAGTTGGCCCTGATTAGTTCTTGTCTGGAATTCCTGTTTTTTAGTGTTGCTTTTTATTTACTGTTTTGATTTTAGAGTTTTTCAAAATACTGGTAGCCAGATTTTGTTCATTTTCATGGTTTCCTCCTTTCTGTTGAAATTGTCAACCTACTTATGTACAATTCACACTTGCCTCAAGCAGACAAGAGTTCTTTCTTCCACCCTGGACATTCTACAGATATGTTAATCTCACTCCCCAAGTTTCTAGCAGACCTCTCAACCTCTGAGGATGCCTGCCATAGATGTGGGTGAAATGTCAGGAGAGAATGCTTCTGGAACATAGCCATAGAGCCCGTAAAACTCACAGCAGCCCATTGCTTCCAGCCATGAAGCCTTCCACAACACAATTATTTTTCTAGTTTTAGAGTGGAAGTCATTTTTCCTGTGATGTATTAGTCCTCTTTCAGTAGCTTGATTGGACAGTCCTTCAATCTAATCCATTGCAGTTGTTCTTCTGTTCTGAGGAGAAACCGTGCTTTGGGTGTCAGTGAAAAGAACAGTCTTGCTGAAGGGAGAGTTAAAAGAGAGGTAGTGCTCTCACTAAGTGTGCAATTTAGAACACATTTGAACATGTTATCTAGGAAATAAAATATTAAGGTATTTAAGACTTTAAAACACGTGGCTCTAATACCCCTTTTTCAAGGTATCTGAGAAGGTTGATTAATCTCCATGAAAGCTCATGCTAAACTAGTGTTTAAGTGTTGAATCTTGATTAGGTCTCCTATGCATGTTGAAAGAACAGAACAGGTTCTTGCTTTCTGTTTGTGCATATGGGCTTTGGCTTCTTAATCCATATACTTAAATGACAATTGTTGTTGTTTTGTTTGCAGGTAGTGGCTCCTGTTTTTCAAAGAGGCCTGTCTGGTGACTACTATGAAGTGTTCAGTGCTTTCAGAGAGCCAGAAACTTGTCTTGGCACTGGAACATGCCCTCGCAAGAGAAGCAAAGATTTGGAAGGTGCCAACTGTCAGTGATTTTACATTGAAGGTATATTTTCTAGACTTATTTATTTATTTCCTATATTTCTACCCCACCTTCTCACCCCGGGGGGGGGGGGGGGACTCAGGGCGGCCTCACAAAACCATCATAGGATGCCGAACATCATAAAAAAAGCAGCAATGCATTAAAATATTAAAAAACAGTAATTAAACAATGGATTAAAAGCATGCCTATTAAAATCAGAATCCAAAATCCAATCCAAGGTCCAGTCTGGGTCAATTCATTGTCTTAAAAACTTCTTTTACTTGGTGTTATTACTGGTCGAATGCTTGGTGCCATAGCCAGGTTTTAAGGTGGCCAATCTGGCTTCCTTTGAAATGATTAATTATGATGAATATGCTTCTTGAAGAATCATGCTTCCCGATCCTTAGGCATCCACAAGCACATCCAACTTGATATAGCAAATATGGTATGTTATAGATAGAGGTCTAATATACTAAATATGCTTCATTACATTTAATCAGTAACATAATCAATCCCAAGATTGAGCCTAGAGAAAAACTTCTTTTTGGGAGTTAACCCTGCTAATCATCCTCTTAAGTGGTGCACTGGAGCTAAGACTCATAGAACTTATGCAGCAGGACTTTTAGATTAGGAGGGGAAGTTATGTCCTCTCCCAATTCCCTCTAGCTTCCCCGTGATCTCTGAATTTAGCTGTACAATACTAATAGGGATGAGGATGGTCTGGATTTTTCTTTGTTAAGGGTACTATTGTAAGTAATCATTATTCTATAGCAGAGTTGGGCAACTCTGGAAGACTCAGAGACTGCTTAATCCTTAGTTGAAGACCACACTCAACACTGGACCTGTTCTTGCTGATATTTCCATTATGGTTTTTTTTTTGGTTCTCCTGGCCCGTTTTAGGAACATGTTGCTTTTAAAAAAGCAACAGTAATGGAAAGAAGCCACCCTTCTTTCCATTACCCTAATTTCTTAAGTCTGCAGTGGCTTAATGGGTTTCCCAAATGTCCACATTCCCTAAATTTGAGAGCAAAGACGGTCTTTTTTCTCTTTTGTAAAAATTCAAGTTTTTTTTACTCCCTGGAGTTGGAGGCAGATGGCCTCCAAATCTGATAGAAACTGTTCGGGCCCAGACTATTTGAAAAACTGCATCTCCATGTACAAACCAACACGAGTGCTGCGGTGTGTGGAGGAGGCCCTCTTCTTGGTCCCACCCCCATCTCAAGTGCGGTTGGTGGAGACAAGAGAGAGGTCCTTCTCTGTGAATGCTCCGCACATATGGAACTCCCTCTCTAAAGAATTAAAAATGACCCCCTCTCTCCTCTCCTTTAAAAAGCTTTTAAAAACACAGGTATGCGCTTTAGCCTATAGAGAGGAGGACTAATTACATCCTAATATACACCCTTGGAGCCCCCGGTGGCACAGTGGGCTAAAGCACTGAGCTGCTGAACTTGCTGACTGAAAGGCCACAGGTTAAAATCCGGGGAGTGGTGTGAGCTCCCGCTGTTAGCCCCAGCTTCTGCCAACCTAGCAGTTCAAAAACAATCAAATGTGAGTAGATCAATAGGTACTGCCTTGGCAGGAAGGTAACGGTGCTCCATGCAGTCATGCCAGCCACATGACCTTGAAGATGTCTATAGACAATGCTGACTCTTCAGCTTAGAAGTTGAGATGAGCACCTGCCCCCAGAGTCTGACACAACTGAATGTCAGGGGAAAACTTTTACCTTTACCTTACACCCTTGTCTAGTTGTTGAGCATCTACCTTTGTTAATCTGCTGTTTACCATCTTCACTCTAATAATTTCAGTTGAATTTTAAGAATTTTAAAGGATTTAATATGTCATAATTGTATTGATTGTTTTATGACTTGTTTATTTAAGTGGGTTTTTTATAATTTTTATTGAACTTGTTTTTGATTTGTTATGGTACCCTCAGCATTAAATGTTTGCAACCATGTTTTATTTTGTCATAAGCTGCCCTGAGTCCCTTCAGGAAGATAGGGTGGGCCAGGGCGGGCTATAAATAAAGCATCATTTTTATCATCATCATTTAGAAATGCACTTCATATTACCTAGTGGCCATTTTATAATTGTTTTTGGAACAACAACTCAAAATCCAAAGGGACTGGGAGGCACAAAATTGGCCTTAAGAAACTGCATGCACTTTTTCCACTTGTGTTCTGTAGCAAAATATTTTGAATGACATGGTTTGGTTAAACCCATTCACACTATATAAAATCTGTTATTGGAAGTGGAAATTTCTAGAGTTGTTTATAGATGTAGATGAACACTGCTTCTTGCATTTTTGGACTCTTATTGGAAATTGTAATGCATAGCATTAAAAATGGCAATACCAGTGATCCTACTCTGTTCAAAATGTCATCCATGTGGAAATGAGCATTGTATCTTAATCATGAGTAGCTATAAGATGAAGCAGGCCCCAATATCTGTGTGCTAAAAGAAGTATGTGACAACTAAAAAGTGAAGCTGTAATGCAAAGTATTTCTAGGCTTACTGCTAAAGGTGGATTTTAAATCCTGGCATATCCCAAATAATTGTGGTGTATGTTTAACATCTTACTTCCTTTTTAGGGTACAGACATCTCCCCATTGTATTATGAGAAAGCAATTTTGTGGATCAAAGAGTTAAATGCACTGTTTCAGTTTTGTTCTGAAACATTTGCATTGGCTGTCAGCTTGCTGAACCGATTGCTGGCAACTGTGAAGGTGAGGTGATCTCCATATCATGTTGATTAAAACGTGATAGTATTGTGGTAATTTTGTTGGCTGCAACATACATACATCAAATCTCTGGGAATTGAACATACAGTGCAATCCTAGGTGTGTAAATCCAGAAATGTCTGTTGGTTTATACTGTGTATTGGATTGGAACATATAAATTATCCATAGGTTCTTTGGCTTCAGTTACTCACAGTTGTCACTACCAGAAGTCTTTGTGGTCTCTCTCATTCTTCCAGCGAGGTGTATGGTACACTTGGTCCAGAAGTTGACCTAACTTTCTAGTTATGCATCTGTTGAAGAAGTGACAATAGGAAAGTTGGCAGAAGATCATTTCCCTTGTCCTCTGTGGGGCAGTCCATGAGCAGATTCCTCCCAATCAGGCCCGTAGCAAGGATTTCGTTTCGGGGGGGGGGGGCTGGAGTTTGTTTCGGGGGGGGGGGGGCTGAGTCTGAGTGAAAGAGGGTCTAGCCTAGCAAACCTTTTGTATCATTACCCCAATACCCCCATGCATATGGGATATATTGAGTATGGTGATCAGATCATGATATGAATAAACATAACAGTTTAAATAATGCACCAGTAAGGCCTTTTCGCGAACCACCATGAGAATTTTGGGGGGGTTGAAGCCCCCCCCCCCCGGGGTACATGCCTGCTCCCAACCATGAGGAGCAAAAATGAGTTCAGGGTTCGGTACTATCCATGGTTTCAAGCATCATTGGAGGGTCTAGGAATATGTTCCCTGAGGATAAGAGGGCCTTGCTGTATACAGAAACAGTGGTCAACAAAGTTTTCTTGAACTGCATACAATTTACTGCAAATGTAAGCCTAAATTTAATTGTTAGTCTTAATCAGAGTGGACTGATTGACTCCATGAAACTTAATCTAAGTGCTGACAAAACAATTTCCCATTGGTTCATTGGTCTACTCCAATTGAGTCTTAATGAGTTGAACTAATTTAGGATGTCCTGTGTGCAGATACTTCCTAAGATTTCAGATTGAATCATACTCAGCATTTTGAACTCCTACTCACATACTTTTGAAAGTGGAATGCAGCATCTTCATATGTATGCTCATTGTAGTTGATGAACCAATCCTGCTTAGTTCTTGCATAAAGTATGGACAAGACTTTAACTGAGTCTTAAGAAGATGATTGCCACTGTAATTTAATTTATCAACTTTATCATCATTCAATGTAAACATAAAAGAAGTACAGTTCCAGGGGCTTCATAGATGCTATGTTTTTGCTGCAAAAATTTCCTAAATATGCCTAAAGTATAGTCAAAATTGTTCGAAGGTGTATGGATTGAGTGGTTCATATTTTCACCTTTGGTAGGAAAACCATCTGGAACATGGTTGGTGATTACAGCGGATTGCAAATCATTCCTTACACTGTGATTTTTCATCATTTTGAATGATCCTGAATTCATGCATTAAAACATGTCATTCTTTGAAAAATTGATATGCAACTGTGAAGGAAAATTGAAGCAAGAAGTGTGTCTCTTTAATAACCATGTAAATGGCAGTAGATAGTTCACATTTCAGGAACTATGATTGTGTAAAAGCTATAGAAAAAAAATCATAGCAGTCCTCTAGGCTGGCAGCCATGCAACAATGTTGAGAAGAGGGAATACTGTACATCTGTTGGTTGTAAGCAGTCTGTTTTTCTAATGTGTCAGTGTCTTCAGGGCTTCTGTGCCTTTCCGTCCTGGCACCCATTGCATTTCTCAACATGATAGTGCAAGGAAGAAGTCAATTTTTGTTTTGTGTGTGGATCTTTATTCGTTTGTTTTCTGGACATCTAACTTCTATTTTCAACTAAAATTCCATGTTGGTAATGTCAAATTGAGGATTAACTTCTAGAAATGGCTAGCTAGCATTCTGTTCATGACTTAATACAGGTCGAGCATCCGTTATCCAGAATGTTTGTTTATTGTGTAGTTCCTATGGAGCCCTTGTAAAAATCTATAACCCAAGCAATTAGATTATATGCACTATTTGATGGATGGATGGATCTTTCTTGATTTTGGTATCACACTGCATTATTTTCCTCTTTTATTTCCTTTCTCCTTCAGGCACAGCTAAAATACCTCAGATGCATTGCAATAGCATGCCTCATTCTTGCAGCAAAAATCAATGAAGAAGATGAGGTATTTTTGGTTTGAAATATGAGATGAGATACAGAGATTAGAATGCCTACCTAGCTGTTATGTTGTAGTTACATAGGCTTAACTTACTGTGTTAGGCAGTGTAATAATACTCAGCAAGGGCCCAACTAACCCACTTATCACCTTCAATCTCATTTTAAACCTTTCAGTGTATCAAATGTGTAAAGTTATATCAATCTAGTTCTCAGAAAACAAGAGGCCAGCTTTCACAGACAGAACTCTTTCCCAGCTTTGATTATAAAAAAAAAAAGTCTGGGGGTGGAATATGGGGAGGGTAGCTGATAAGCAAGCAATGTCTGCATTTAGTCATAACGTGAAATCAAGCGTGGGATGAAGTGACAGACATTCAGATTAGCTTCCATCTATTAGGTGCTATGATAGCTTCAGATTGCCCCAGCATGGCTGGAATACGAAAGTATATGATTGCTCCCATATTTTTGAAAATGTTATTAGATTTTATATTTCCAAAAATGTGGGATCAACAACTGTATGCCCCCCCCCCCCTTCCCGGAAGAGTCTGAAACCTTCATAGTACCTAATAGATGCAGACTAATTGGAATGTCTTTTTCATTCCATCTTCAGTCTGCAATTAAATGCCTTTGATGTCTTTCCTTTGTTTACTTGTAACCTGAGGCACTGTTCAGGAGAATTTGCACACTTGTATAGTACTTTGTGATATTTTGTTTGGATTAATAAAAGATGCTCTTTGTGTAGACTTTAGAGATTTTCTTATGGCTAGCAAGGCTACCAGTCCTTTTGGATTGACAACAATAAATGGCTCTTGGGTAATAAAAATGGCTGAAATCCTGTTGGGGCCTTGTATCTTCATAAGTAAATATACGTCTGTGGGAGTAAGGATCGGGCCATTCTGTAACATCCATATTGAGTAAGGGGATGTTGTTACATTACTATGTAGGGAGCTGGAAATGTGCCTGATGCTCAACAGGACCCTATACACATCAGAACACCAGCAAGAGAGGGCATTGGAGCAGGACAATCTTCTGCATTGGAGCAGGACAATTATGTGGAGCGGGACCATCTTGTTAACATAGTTTCTTAGTGCCTCTGCTATGTAGCTAGGTATAACATAATGTTAAGTAAAATAGACTGTGATAGAAGATTCCAGCCAATTTCTTTTAAGACCAGTATTTAGATTTAACTCTAGTCTTTATTAATACTGTTGTATAACACAGAGGACACCAGGGTTTCTAAATTTTTGATGGATAATATTTCAAAGCCAGATAGGTTCATTCACATGTCAACAGTGTCAAAGACAACTCATTTTTTAGCACATTACACACAAAACACCACAAAAAATTTCATAGGAATTTTGTTTTGTTTTTAATTATTATTGTTCTTTTGTTTCAAAACAGCTAATACCATCAGTAAAGAAGCTTGCAGTGCAGAGTGGTTGTAAGTGTTCTCCAGCTGAGATATTGAGAATGGAAAGGATTATACTTGATAAACTTCACTGGGATCTTTACACAGCAACATCAATGGATTTCTTAAACATCGTAAGCACTAAACGTTTGGTTTCTTGCACCAAATAAGACTAGAAAACATCAAGGGTGCACATGCATTTCCTTTGAGTTAGCCTCACAAGCCACGCATTCTTAGTTCCCTGCAAGTCTTTTGAGGTGTATTACCAAGAAGGTACTGAAATTCTGTGTGAACACCCTTCCGTTCCAAATGCTGAACTTTGATTTACAAAGGATGTAAACTCCAATTTTGAAAGGACCACTACGTTAGACTTGTTGTCAGCATATTCCAACTTATAACTAGGGATCTTTTGTTTATTGTTTTAAATATAATGCTGCAAAAATATTTTTAACTATCTGTACTCTTAATACTGTACATAAAACTCTTTCAGAATTTTTGCTACATTTCACAAATAGGGCATCTCAGATCAGCTTTCTTTCATTCACCCTGCATTAACACACTGGACCCTCATATTTAGACAAAATAGATCATTCTGATCTGGCACTTAAGTCGCATCTTATTTGTTTAACATTTACAGAAAGAAAACTCCTCTTTAAGAAGTTACCGTGTGCTATATAATAAGGCAAAAATCATGTGATATAGCAATGTCTCAGAGCTCATCTCTTTATGGCACAGGGTGGATTCTTATTCCATCCTGATGGGAGGGTTGTTTAGGTATCAAACTTGGTCACAGCCTAGATATTAAGGCTGTGTTCAACCTGCTTCCAGCATCATCAGTCATTACACACCCCACCCTTGTTTGCTTTGTTTTTGCTGGCTTCAGTATCACCTGTTTCTTAAGCATACACATGAGAAGTCAAAAGACCTGAATTTACAATTGCGACAATGCAATGCATTCAGAATTAGTTACATTCAATATACGCTTAAACATTTCAATATTTGGCAAATACGACACAAATGGTAACAGTGGGACAAAAATATAAATAACAAAGTCAAGAGGTTTCCTGCCATGAATAAGAATTAGTTTGCACTTCTGGTCAATGACATATGAAAACGTACAAAGTTCATTGTTGACACTGGTCTTATTTTGTTTTTGTTTTTAAAATATATATATCTATATATAGAGAGATATCTTATAAATGTTTCTCTCTCTCCAGTTCCATGCCATGGTGATGTCCAAGTGGTCCCATCTACTAAACGGGCTGCCTCAAAGGAATCCTTCCCGCCACGTTGCGTTCTTGACCAGACAGCTACAGCACTGTATGGCATGCCACCAAGTGTTGCAGTTTAAGGGCTCCACATTGGCTTTGGTGATCATCACCTTGGAGTTGGAGAGGCTGACTCCTGACTGGTTCCCTGTGATAACTGATCTGCTAAAGAAAGCACAGGTAGGAGTCAAGGCAGGCTTTGCAGGAAAAATCAGGGACCCAGACAAAGATTTGCTTGAAAAAGAAAGAGATTTTAAAGAAAGGAGCTATCAATGCAAAACTTTTTCAATATTTGAAATTATTGTTGCACGTTTTAAAACATATACTTCTCAGGAGTGCATGGTAGAAAGCGAATTCTGGGTTAGGATGCCATTTCTGCGCACTGCAAACTCTTAGTTAGTTAAATGGGGGTTAATATCCCGACAAAGATCTACAGCCACCAAAAGTCTGTTACTAGAATTCATTCACATTGTTTATTTATTTCGAGTATTTATATCCCACCCTCTCACCCCCGGATGGGGATTCAGTGCGGCTTACAAAAGGCAACCATTAGATACCAGCAATATACAGCAATATACATTGCACTTGATGTAGAATATGCGTTCGCAGTTGTCTAGCATGGACATTTGATGCCCTCATAAAAAGAATGAGAACCATCTATGGGGAACTTTTTACACCCTCAGTCACATGTTAATATCATGTTATGGTGCATTTAAATCGCACAGGGTCTCATAGTGAGTGACCATTGTTTGGTTCATAGGCCAAGCTCTAATTGAGATCTGAGGTAAACAGAAAGTTCTTAGATTTGGCAGTAGTTACCAATATATTCATTGTTTTCTTTGGGGCTGAATAGACCAACAGTCCTGATAGCATTGCAAAACCAGGGCGAGAGAATCCTTGCAACTCCAGACATTGTTGGACTCCTGTTATGCCCTGACAGTGGCCACGTTGGTGAGAACTGGGCTACAACAATGCCTGCAAAATTACGGGGTTGACATCCCATTTCTGAGAGGTCAGAAAGTCAACGGATGGAGTGAGGACAAGTCCAGCTGTTTTCCTGCTGCAACAGGCATTGGATGGGATCTCCAAGTATCCTTGGGACATCCCAGCAGATGATACCCTTGCATCACTGCTGGCCTCCCACCCTTCAAATACATAAAAATAGCCACACTGGGGAGGTAAAGTGCTTACAAAGTAGAGCCTGTGAGGGATTTTGGTCACTGACATGGTCTGTCTTAAACAAAAACCATAAAAATGACCTGTAATGATTATGTCCAACTTGTGGCATCATAGCACAAACCAGCCATAATGTAGCACATAAATTTGCACCTCACTTTATTTTTCAAGGTTTTTTTCTGATAGCGTAACATAGATTTGCATTCTTGGGATAATGGAAGTCCAAACATCAGGAGAGCAAAAGATTCCCTTTCCCGCTTTAGTATATCATTGTTTTAGTATAGTTATACAATAAGCAAATTGGTTGTGAGTTGCTTATCTGCTTTAGTTTCTCACCTGCTCATAAACTCACTCCAATCTCCACAGTCTGGCAGCTGTTCATAGTAGAGTAGTGAGCTTAACTGTGGTTTGCCAGTGATTTGTAGATTCAGATATTCAATCAAGGTGGCATCAACAAACAGTAGCTTTGCAGAAGAGCTTTGATCCGTGGCTACCACACTTGGCTTCTTAGCCACAAACTAACCTTCCAGGATATATGACAGACTCAGCTTCAAACCTTAAAGTCAGTTAGTGTCATGTTTCATTGATACCCAGTCACTGTATAATGAGGAAATTGAATCCAAAATGCTACCCTCTAAATAGTGAATGTGATTTTCCTGCTTCTTGGCAGGGGGCTGGACTGGATGGCCCATGAGGTTTCTTCCAACTCTGATTCTAAATCAGATAGTTTAATGTACTAGCCCAAATCCATGTCAAGAAGGTAAAGATGCAGGGTGCACTCAAAGCAAACAGGAAGCAAAAGATAACAAACATAGGTGAGTTTCATGCTCACACAAAGAGCAAGAAATAATGTGAATTATTGATAGTTACTGGGGGAGTATTGAATTAGTCCTTTGAGTCTCCATAGCAGTTGATGGGAATTTTATCTAGCTCTCTCTTTTTGATTTATTTTTTTTGTAGACAAAGCAAAGAGGGCCATTTTTATGTTACATAATCATTTTAGTTGCTTAGCAAAAACTGAACTGTTTCTGTAAGAGAGTTGCCATTGTCTTTTATCAGCAGGGGTTTCAAATATCTTTCTCTGGGGTCACAATACAAAGGACAGTTTAGCATGTTGTTCACAATGTCTTCCGCCTGACATTGGCTACAGATGCAAAGTCTCTTTTCCAGCAGCACACTATGGTAATAACCATCTAACAATGTAGTGGGCATTACTTGGAATCGCAGTTCAGTGAAGGCAATTCTTAAGGATGGATTAATGGTACTGGGGCTGAATCCCTATCATCCTTAGTCAGCATAGTGAAGAATGCTGGGAATTGCAGTCCATCTGGAGGTTGCACATTCTTGATGTGTACAGATTGTCTATTTGAAGTATGCAGGAGAAACAAATGAATGCTGGATAGATGTTTATTTGAATCATTTCAAATTACTGTACCTGGAAATACAGGAACTGAAATATTTCATCCTCATGTTCTTACAACTGCACATCAGTTAACACTAAGGACAATATGCTAATAATTTCAGGAGCCTGAAAAAATGATTTTGTTGATATATTGCATTACAGGTTGATAACACCCAGTTCATCCACTGTAAAGAGCTTGTTGATCAGCAGCTCCTGGGGTTTTGGTCACCCAACGCCGTCTATATTTTCAGCCCAGCAAAACAAAGCATCCAAACTCACCTGGATGGAAGGATAGCCTGCTCTTCTTCCACAGTGAAAAAGGCAAGGCAAAATCACCCACAAGGCCAGGGAGACTGGTCTGGCCTTAGAGGCAATGCTTATGAAGATGACACACAGACTGATGAATTTTTTGATGGATTCAAGTGCCTGTACAATGAAGATGGGATGCCAGAAACTGGGCAGACCAGTAGCATGGACAGCCTCAAGAGACAAGAGGAAGGTAGCAACACTTGTCCACCACTACAGCCTGCCCCTCAGATTGAATGGCCAAAGTCTGTGTAGTGACAAGGGATCAGATGGCCCAAAAAGCTATCTTTGGTGTTTCAATGGTTAGCAGAGCTATTACTAGAAAGCACTGCCTATTTTGCAACTTGCTAATACTCCATTTTTTAAAAATGCATCCTGCATGCCTTTATGTATGTTTTATTTTGGTATGTTTATATCAAGTTTTTTGTTACATCAGGGCAGAAGACACAGATTAGAGCTATACAGGGACAAAAATCTCAGGGATCAACATTCAACAGAATCATATGCTAGAGACATGTAGAAAATCGGGTGTGTAATTATCCCAGGGAAAAGGGGAATCTTGCTAAGTTTCTCCTTTGAATAGTTTTAAGTATTGTTTTTATCCTGATAATAATTTTACTTTCCTGCATACATGAAACTACTGGGTGTTATTAATGAGCTATGGATAAGATCTAGAAATGAGTAGCATTCTTTTCAAGTAACAAGCCATCTTAGCTGCATAAGCTAAAATATTAGATCAGGTATTTTAATGGTGGGTTCAGACATATAAGATACAGCAATGAAATGTGTCCATCATTTGGAGAAATGTTGAGTTGGTCAAAATCAGGGATGGGGAATATTGGGTCTTCCAGTTGTTTTCAGAAATTGGTGCCTTTCAACACAGCCTGCATAACCAATACTGATGGCTCAACCAGGATTTGAGTCTAATCTCTTAGGGCCACCAATTTGCTGGAAACAGTAATTAATCTGTGCCACAAAAAGAAACAAGATTTAGTGAACAATATAACCCTTCTACCTG